GAAGCCAGATGTTTGAAAGCAGGAGAAATTACAAATCTTTGTCTATAAAAAGGCATCAGTGAAACTGAAAAGGTGAGGGATTTTTTTCCTAAAGATTTACAGAATAAAAAAAGCCAAACTAACCAGATTGTCCAGTAAAAGAGAAGCTCACCTTTGCTCTGCAGGGCAGCGGTAAAGCTGGTGTTTCTGTGCAGCGTGGTGGCGGTGGAGGTGAGATGAAGGCTCTGATGCTGCAGCTGAACATCACACAGTCAAACGCTGCTGATAAAAGGGGAATCTGAGAGTACGAAAGCTGCCGTCTTCCTTTTTGAGACCCGCTCTGCTTCAGCAGAAGTGACTCCCAGCTTCCTCCTGCTCTGCTTTTCATCAGATAAATTCAACGCTCCACAAGCCTTCACATGCTTCACGCCCAGCAGTCCTCTTACATCTATTTTAAACCACGTCATTAGATTTACTTCACGTCACAACAAGCAATGTCTTATTTGAATGCTGCATGACAGTTTGCGAGGCTTCTGCAAACATTTAGGAGCTTTTTAATGAAGGGAAAGCATCTGTGGAGCAGCTGCTTCTGACTCATCTGAAGATCCTGGCATCCTGGAAAAGGTCCATGACACAGGTTATTAATAAAACACACAGCCGCTGCTAACCGCTCAGGTTTGTTTACTTCAGGGGACGAGTTATTTCAACATTGTTTGCGGGTGTGTACAAATAAGTCTGTTTGTGAGTGAGTTTGTCTCAAGGAACTTTCCAGTTCACCAGATCATCCAGTTAGATTAATTCAAAGTTTTCTATCTAAGGAAAACCAGCTGAATGCAATCCCTTATACTGAGCATGCTTGTAGCGACAGTGGAGAGGAAAAACCTCCTTTGAACAGGAAGAAACCTCCAGCAGAACCAGGCTCAGTGTGAGCGGCCATCTGCTGAGGCCCACTGGGGTTCAAGGAGACAGAAGCAGAGACAGAAAAAGCAGCTCCAAAGGCAGCCCCCCTTCCAGGAAACAGTAGATAAAAAGCTTTGAATCAATTTGACTGTATGTTCTGGTTGACTTGTAAAGTACCTTGAGATGACATCTTGAGAATTGTCTCTCTATATATAAATAAACTGAATTGAAACACCACTCTCCTCACTCTAACCCCTCCCTGTCCTCAACTCTTCACACGTCTCCAACCCTCAGACCACCTGAGACCTACACTCCCCCTCACCACCCACTCACACCCTCTGTCCTGCCTCCCTCCCCCCTCACAGTACCTTCAATGCAGGTGAGAGGCCAGCTGAAGAGACCGGATGGCACCCCCCTCCAAAAGTCTGCTGAACCCTCGCTATAACGCGGTTCACTTTTCACGTTCTCGCTGCTTCATGGATTTGCATCATGCATTGTTAAACTTTATTGTCAAACATATTAATGGTGGAATGTCGGTTTATAAGGATCTTTTGGCCCAGAAGAAAAAAGAGCGACAACAACTACCGATAACTATGTTCTTCTCTGCAAAAAACTCACCTGCACCGCAGGATTTAGAAGAAAAAAACGCCACAGAGGAGAATCAGGATGCAGCGGCTCCATCAAACAGCAGTGAAATACTGAACTGAACACGTCAGTCACTATTTGTCCTACTGTACTTTGGCTTTTTTTCATAATCATTTTTCATTTTCTCCCGTTCCAATCCGTCACAGTGGAGCGGTGCTGATCGCCGCAATATTAGCCCTTCATTTCATATTGATGATTAAAATTATTACTTATTTATTTATATTTTATATTTTACAGTACAGTACAGTAGTTAACAACGTTTATACCGTACTTTTCATTTCATTGTATAATAACTGTAAAAAAAAATAAAGGTTACTATTTCACGGATTTCTCCTATCGCGGGTTCTTTTTGGAACGTAACCCCCGCGATAAACGAGGGTTCACTGTATTTGAAAAACGATTCCTCGTAAGGACTGTTCAGTTGAACAGTGGGTAGCACTTTCTTTCTGCGTGGAGTTTGCATGTTCTCCCTGAGCATGTGTGGGTTCTCTCCGGGTACTCCGGCTTCCTCCCACAGTCCAAAAACATGACAGTTAGGTTAACTTGCTTCTCTAAATTCTCCTTAGGTGTGAGTGTGTGAATGGTCGTTTGTCTATGTGTTGCCCTGCGATGGACTGGCGACCTGTCCAGGGTGGACTCCGTCTCTCGCCCCTAGACAGGTGGAGATAGACACCAGCACCCCTCGTGTAGCCTCGTGAGACCATCCTGATCTCGCGAGCTTTCAAGGTTTCACTCGCAGATCAGTCTGGAGACTCTCCGTTAAAGAAAATCTGGAGCCGTTCACCAAACGAACGTCCAATCAGCGTTGGCTTTGAGGCGGGTTGAGGTGTGACGCAACGAGAAGCGCGACGGTTCAGTCTAAAGAACATGGAGGCTTCAGCCGATGAAACTAGCGTTAGCGTGGCTATCGAGCAAGTTTTATTGGAATTACAGAGTATTTCTTCACTGAAAGAAGAGCAAAACACTGCTCTGGAGGCTTTTCTCAGAGGGAAAGATGTTTTTGCTCTCCTCCCGACTGGTTTCGGCAAGAGTTTGATCCATCAATTGGCTCCTCTTCGTCGTCGCTCTGTTAGTACGTCATGTGCTTCGTTGATCTGATTGGTTTATTTGGCCCGTCTATCACCAACATAGGCCAATCAGCTAACCAGTATTTTCGCCCCTTCCCAAAATTACTTCAACGGAAGGTTTCCAGATGGATATGCGGAGCAAATCCATCTGGCGGAGTCAGGTTACCCCTCATGACCCCAATTGGGACAAGCGTGTCAGATAATGGATGGATTCCTCGTAAATGAAAATAACTACTTTTTAAAAAAAAAAAAGGGAACGTCTTTTTGCGTACTTTAAAATCTAAAAAATGTAAAAAATAAGTAATGTGAATCTGAATGACATGTATGTATAAATGGTTATGTTTCTCATATGATGCTGTAATTTTATGTACATGCCTCCGATTTTTGATTTTGTGTTTTTTGTATCAGTGCTGTATAGGTTTTGCACTGTTATTGTTCTTTCTTTTTCAGTTTTTGTATAAAATGTTCAAAAAGAAAAGAAAATAACTACTTGGCTATAAAGAATTATCTTATTTAGGTGTTTACATTGATAATTGATTAATAGAATTGCATATATTTCTCTCGGTTCGTATTAGTTGTAAATAAGGCTTCATACTGTAAAGGTTTTGTTAAGAGAAATTTGTCTCCAATTGGTGTGAGTAACATGTTTTGGAAAACTACTGATTGGAGATAAAAAGCTGAGAGTGAACAGCTGTGGGACGGCAGCCATCAAACAATAAGCAGAGACATTACATCATGACTAATCCTGATATTACAGAGAACCAACTAGAAGCATTCAAACTGAAACTGGCTTTAGTGAAACAGTAAAGAAAAAACACTTTGAAATACATTAGAGTTTAACTTCTAAGGTTTAGCAGAAAACATCTGAACATTTGCCATAAAGACGGACCTTACCTTTGCTCTGCAGGAGAGGTAAAGCTGGTTTTCCTGTGCTATGTGGGAGTGGATGTGTTGAGACCAAGGCTCTGAGGCTGCGGCTGGCAGAAATATAAACGCGTTTCTTTGTCTTTGTTTTTAAGCCTCACGGTTCCAGCATCAGATTCCTGCCTCCACCAGATAAATTCAATGTTTCTCTCTCTCTTAAGCCTCCACATGCTTCATCCTCAACAGTCCGCTCACATTTATTTAAACTTACTTTGTCATTAGATTTACAGCATGTCACAACAAACCATGTCTTATTCAAATGTTGAATTAAAGTTGAAGAGGCTCTTTCAAACATTTAGGAGCTTTTAATGAAGTCAGTGGAGCGCCTGTTTCTGACTCATCTGAAGATCATGACATCCTGGAAATGGTTCAGGTCACAGGTCTGTGTTCAGCATTATTGCTTTGGTTCAGTCTGTTACTATTAGAATATTAATAATAAAAGAGGCGACAGCTGCAAAGCGTCCAGGTTTGTTCATCTAGACCAGAGGTAACCAATTAAAAATCAGCGGTGTCTGAATAAAAAAAAAAAAAAGATATACACATATATATATATATACACATATGTGTATACATATATATGTGTGTATATATATATATATATATATATATATACACACAATCATTCTGTTGAGACCTGGTCGAAAAGCAAAGTCTGACTTTTTATTCGTGTGTTCAAACTCATTTATTAAATTATTAATGCTTTTTTCTGAAAACTTTTATTTTGGAGTTCTGTCAAAGCATGAAAGGAAATTCTATTTGATCCAAACCTCTAGTGCCTGGTTTTCTTAATTCATGACTTTTATTTTACAACTAATTAAATATTTTTCTTCCCTTATTTTGTGCTTTTCCTCTATATGTGTTTGACAATTCATAAGACCCTGTTTAATAAGTAAGAAAAACTTTTATTTTGAAGAAATTAAACAATTTAGTGTAGATTTTTATTTTTAGTCAATGATGTAGATTTTTTTATTTTTACATGAATAAATTCCAAATATTTTTACTTTTGAAAATGTTTTATTGTAGATAAGATATTTTATGCTCCCTTTATTTGGTAAAAATCCTTTTTGTGATTAGACATACATTTTTTATAAGAAATTTCCAATGCTTATGCGCCATTTAGAAAAATACTCAGCACCTTTTACAGATATATATATACCCTAACCCTAACCCTTGTATCGGAGAGTTTCTTTGTTATCGGTTTTTATTGGTTATTAGAAAAATAACAATATATTAACTCGATAACAGTTAATATCATAACTTTTTTCTGTGATGGAACTTTAAGTTGGAAATTTTTTCCTGTTAGGATATTTTTTTTTCACCAATTCTCTGTAATTGAGCATTCATTCCATAGACCAAGACATTTACTGGGATCTAATTTGACCTAAATGGGCTTCCGTCCATTTATGTTCTTTGGTATTATCTGATCACGTCTTCTTCTTTCTGTTTTCTAATTCCTAATTCAGAATAATAAACTGGATCAGAAAGTTTAAACCAAACAAACCCATTTATTGCTCTAATCAAACTGTACAGATTTAAATATCCAGAAAGGAGGAGGTTCCTGCTGGGAGCGTCATGACACGTCCTCCATGTAGTCAGCTCCGTGGCTCTGACTGATCTGAGAGACGCTCAGGTCCTGTGTGGCTTCATTAGACTGGACAAAAAAATAGACGGGAGGTCAGAGAGCAAACTGAGCTGAGATCAGAAGCTCTCAGAGCCTGGAGGAGACGTCAAACCTTTTCGCTGTTCTCCGGACCCTCGATGGACACCTCCTCGATGTCCTCGGCCAAACTCAGCTCGCCGTTAGAAAGGTCCGACCGATGGCTGAAAAGGAAAACAAACATCAACGTTCTGTTAGAGATCAGCCTGAATCGGTCAGGTTGACCTCAAGTTCTCCCAGAACGTTTTGAGGGACAACAGAAACCTGCTCCGAGGAGGTTTCTCCAAAGACAAATATAGGCAGGTTGACATCAGACAGATCAAACATTACATCATCGATCTCACCTGTTGAAGTCATCATCGTACTCCTCCTCTTCATCTGTGGAGACAGAGTCCAAAATATTAGTAAGAATAAATTCTGCTAAACGCTGAAACTGGACTTTTCCAGGAACCAATCAAAGCTGCAGATGAACCAAACAAAACGAGAATGAGAAACAGTTTCTGACCCAAGTGCAGAGATCCTGTCCTGTCGCTCGCAGCGCGCAGGTTTTTCTCTCTGGAGGTTTTTGCTCCTGAAAAGCAGAAAACATTCCAGAGTTCAGACAGAGAGTCACTTCCAAAACACAGACCTCCAGGATCCAGACCTCTGCTTTGAAGGAAGGAAGGAAGGAAGGAAGGAAGGAAGGAAGGAAGGAAGGAAGGAAGGAAGGAAGGAAGGAAGGAAGGAAGGAAGGAAGGAAGGAAGGAAGGAAGGAAGGAAGGAAGAGAGGAAGGAAGGAAGAGAGGAAGGAAGGAAGGAAGGAAGGAAGGAAGGAAGGAAGGAAGGAAGGAAGGAAGGAAGGAAGGAAGAGAGGAAGGGAGGAAGGAAGGAAGGAAGGAAGGAAGGAAGGAAGGAAGGGAGGGAGGGAGGGAGGGAGGGAGGGAGGGAAGGAAGGAAGGAAGTGAGGGAGGGAGGGAGGGAGGGAAGGAAGGAAGGAAGGGAGGGAGGGAAAGAAGGAAGTGAGGAAGGAAGGAAGGAAGGTAGTGAGGGAGGGAAGGAAGTGAGGGTAGGAAGCAAGGAAGGAAGTGAGGGTGGGAAGGAAGGAAGGAAGTGAGGGAGGGAGGGAGGGAAGGAAGGAAGGAAGGGAGGGAGGGAAAGAAGGAAGTGAGGAAGGAAGGAAGGAAGGTAGTGAGGGAGGGAGGGAGGGAGGGAGGGAGGGAGGGAGGGAGGGAGGGAGGGAGGGAGGGAGGGAGGGAAGGAAGGAAGGAAGGAAGGAAGGAAGGAAGGAAGGAAGGAAGGAAGGAAGGAAGGAAGGAAGGAAGGAAGGAAGGAAGGAAGGAAGGGAAGGAGGAGGGAGGGAGGGAGGGAGGGAGGGAGGGAGGGAGGGAGGGAGGGAGGGAGGAGGGAGGGAAGGAAGGAAGGAAGGAAGGAAGGAAGGAAGGAAGGAAGGAAGGAAGGAAGGAAGGAAGGAAGGAAGGAAGAGAGGGAGGGAGGGAGTTAAGGAAGGAAGGAAGGTAGTGAGGGAGGGAAGGAAGTGAGGGTAGGAAGCAAGGAAGGAAGTGAGGGTGGGAAGGAAGGAAGGAAGTGAGGGAGGGAAGGAAGGAAGAGAGGGAGGGAGGAAGTGAGGGAGTTAAGGAAGGAAGGAAGGTAGTGAGGGAGGGAAGGAAGTGAGGGTAGGAAGCAAGGAAGGAAGTGAGGGAGGGAGGGAGGGAAGGAAGGAAGGAAGGGAGGGAGGGAAAGAAGGAAGTGAGGAAGGAAGGAAGGAAGGAAGTGAGGGTGGGAAGGAAGGAAGGAAGTGAGGGAGGGAGGGAAGGAAGGAAGAGAGGGAGGGAGGGAAGGAAGGAAGGAAGGTAGTGAGGGAGGGAAGGAAGAGAGGGAGGGAGGAAGTGAGGGAGTTAAGGAAGAAGGAAGGTAGTGAGGGAGGGAAGGAAGTGAGGGTAGGAAGCAAGGAAGGAAGTGAGGGTGGGAAGGAAGGAAGTGAGGGAGGGAGGGAGGGAGGGAGGGAAGGAAGGAAGGAAGGGAGGGAGGGAGGGAAGGAAGTGAGGGTAGGAAGCAAGGAAGGAAGTGAGGGTGGGAAGGAAGGAAGGAAGTGAGGGAGGGAAGGAAGGAAGAGAGGGAGGGAGGAAGTGAGGGAGTTAAGGAAGGAAGGAAGGTAGTGAGGGTAGGAAGCAAGGAAGGAAGTGAGGGAGGGGGGGAGGGAAGGAAGGAAGGAAGGGAGGGAGGGAAAGAAGGAAGTGAGGAAGGAAGGAAGGAAGGAAGTGAGGGTGGGAAGGAAGGAAGGAAGTGAGGGAGGGAGGGAAGGAAGGAAGGAAGGTAGTGAGGGAGGGAAGGAAGAGAGGGAGGGAGGAAGTGAGGGAGTTAAGGAAGGAAGGAAGGTAGTGAGGGAGGGAAGGAAGTGAGGGTAGGAAGCAAGGAAGGAAGTGAGGGTGGGAAGGAAGGAAGGAAGTGAGGGAGGGAGGGAGGGAGGGAAGGAAGGAAGGAAGGGAGGGAGGGAGGGAGGGAGGGAGGGAGTTAAGGAAGGAAGGAAGGTAGTGAGGGAGGGAAGGAAGTGAGGGTAGGAAGCAAGGAAGGAAGTGAGGGTGGGAAGGAAGGAAGGAAGTGAGGGAGGGAGGGAAGGAAGGAAGAGAGGGAGGGAGGGAAGGAAGGAAGAGAGGGAGGGAGGAAGTGAGGGAGTTAAGGAAGGAAGGAAGGTAGTGAGGGAGGGAAGGAAGTGAGGGTAGGAAGCAAGGAAGGAAGTGAGGGTGGGAAGGAAGGAAGGAAGTGAGGGAGGGAGGGAGGGAAGGAAGGAAGGAAGGGAGGGAGGGAAAGAAGGAAGTGAGGAAGGAAGGAAGGAAGGAAGGTAGTGAGGGAGGGAGGGAGGGAGGGAGGGAGGGAGGGAGGGAGGGAGGGAGGGAGGGAGGGAGGGAGGGAGGGAGGGAGGGAGGGAGGGAAGGAGGAAGGAAGGAAGGAAGGAAGGGAGGGAGAGAAGGAAGGAAGGAGGAAGAAGGAAGGAAGGAAGGAAGGAAGGAAGGAAGGAAGGAAGGAAGGAAGGAAGGAAGGAAGGAAGGAAGGAAGGAAGGAAGGAAGGAAGGAAGGAAGGAAGGAAGGAAGGAACCAATTTAAAGTCAGACAACAGGTTCCTCTGGATCATTTGATTTGGACATTAGAATCAGGAAGATCCAGATCCAGAAGATCCAGATCCAGAAGATCCAGATCCAGAGATCCAGATCCAGAGGTCTGGTCTCCACAGGAGGACAAACAGCTGGAACAAACTTACCGTTCCTGCTGAGGCTCGGTTCTGACCCACTGCTTCCTCCTCTTGGTCTCAGAGCCTCAGTCATAGAGCCCACTGGACTGCCTCTGGTTCCGGACGTCTCTGCCTTCCTGAGGAGCAGAACACGGACTTTGGTGGCAAACCGGACTTAAAACCAAATAAATTTACATCTGAACAATTTCAGACGGTTCTTCTGGACCAGCTGTTCGGACCGGTACCAAACTGAGCAGACGACTGTACTAGCTGCAGTTTCCCTAACCGGGTCAGAAATGTTCTGACACCATCTGAACATGTTTCAGCTAGAAACCCATCGCTGGATTTTGCAGTTGGACAGAACCAGAACCAACAGCTCTGGCCTCCAACATTCGGTCCGTTTCAGAATTCCTGGCTGTTGACGGACATGCGGTGTTCTGATCGGGTGAACATTACGTTAAAAAGGATCGCTAATCCCTTTAATTGTGTCGTTTGGTACCAGGTAGGGTTCTAGAACCTCACATAAGTCCAGTCTGACTGGTCCAGTTTAGTGAAACCAGAAGCTGAGGAACAATCTTTTAGATAATTCCCCATCAGTTCATCTCCTAATCCGTAAGATAAACTAACGGTCCAACAGAACCGGCTTTGTTCTGCCCTTCGGGTTCTGGTTCCTCTTCCTCTAAACTTATCAGGTCCAGATTTTCTATTTGATAATAAATCTCATAAAGTCCTGAAACAGGAAATCAGCTAAAACAGGAGGAACCCAAACAGAAATGTTCCAAATGATCCAAACATGAAGGATGGAAACAAAAAATAATAAACGCAAAGTTGTCAAACCTACATAATGAATAAAGAAGACATTATTACCAATAAACAGAACCGGTTCTACGAGGATCAGAACCAGAATCACATGAATGAACCGGACCTAACAGGTCCACATTCTCTGGGAGTTTCCCAGAGTTCTGCTGGGTTCCTATAGTGGTTGACCTGCAGCTCACCTGAGCTCTGAGCCACGATCCAAGATGGAACCGCCTTGATCCAGTTCCGGGTCGTCAGCAAGAACCGAGAGACTAAGACCGGAGAGGGAGAGGATGAGGAGGAAGAGAGACAGAATCATAGAGAGCGGCAAGCAGGCAGACATGGTGACCTGGTCCGTCGGGACGGATCAGTATCTGAGCAGAACCATGAGAATCCAGGAGCTGCTCTGCCGTTCGTCGCCGACCCATCTGAGTGGGCTCAGACGGTCCCGGACTCGTTGATGTCCTCCACATTAAAACGGGTCAGCACCAGTCGGCGGAACAGCTCCGGCATCCAGAACACGATGGGATCACAGTCATGCACGATGCACGCCACGGGACACATGCAGGCCCGAACGAACAGGAACATTATAGTATCGACAGGGGGAGCAATCCAACATCTGATCCGGTCCAATCAGACGACCAGGATTAAAGCTGAGGAACCACAGAGGCATTCCAGTTCGACAAGAAAGAAGGGGATTCTACCTGGACCGGTCCAAAAAAAGTCCAAACCTTCTCCATCTAAATCCCACTGACAGAACCCTTCAGTGTGGAAACTATTATCTGAAGGAGGCGGAAGAAGAAGAATTTTCTAGAAAGGAAACTTTCCACTGAAGGCTGTTAAGCCGGGAATACACTGTACCATTTTTCCCAATGGTTGCAGGCAGCTACAGCTCACACTGTACGTTAAAACCGCAGAGTTTAAAAGTTCACGATGTTTATTCTCAAATTACGCGACCCGACGCTCTGACACGGTCTACCTGCTTACACTGTACGTCTAAAAACCAGGTGGGACTTAGCAAAGCAGTGAGAAGGAGCTACTTGGAATTGTCTATCCGGAAGCCAAACGGAATATTAAGCTCACTAGAGTGAAACGCGCTGCCTTGGCAATTTATGCAATTTTAAGCTGAAAGCCCTAAAAAGAAAACCTGACTCTGCCATTGGAGCCGAGTCAGGAGCCGTTCACCAAACAAACGTCCAATCAGCGTTGGCTTTGAGGCGGGTTGAGGTGTGACGCAACGAGAAGCGCGACAGTTCAGTCTAAAGAACGTGGCGGCTTCAGCCAGAAACTAGTGTTAGCGTGGCTATCGAGCAAGTTTTATCGGAATTACAGAGTAATTACAGGGGAGGGGACTCAGATTTCAGCGTTCAAAAACCTACAGTGCAGCAATTGAGTTTATCCCTTCCCGCTATTATCGCAACCCCAACCACCTTACAGGGGAACAGAGGACCTTGCTTATTTAGCCAGGCCAACAATTCCCTTTAATGACCCCCCATTTCATAGACATAGACAGGTATGGGGTATTGCGGGCTAACAAAGAAACCAAACAACCCCCTTTCCGGATATTCTGGAATATCCTGGTTTCCGGATATTCCGTTCCATGTTCGTCCGTTTCAATTTGCATGTTCTCTTGACAACAAACTATGGCCTGCTCCTTAAAAACCTGGGATTTGACTTGGAGTTATCCTTTCAAGATTTGAGACTTAACCTAACCTTACCTTAGCCTCGTGAGACCATCCTGATCTCGCAAGCTTTCAAGGTTTCACTCGCAGATCAGTCTGGAGACTCTCCGTTAAAGAAAATTTGGAGCCGTTCACCAAACGAACGTCCAGTCAGCGTTGGCTTTGAGGCGGGTTGAGGTGTGACGCAACGAGAAGCGCGACAGTTCAGTCTAAAGAACATGGCGGCTTCAGCCGATGAAACTAGCGTTAGCGTGGCTATCGAGCAAGTTTTATGGGAATTACAGAGTATTTCTTCACTGAAAGAAGAGCAAATCACTGCTCTGGAGGCTTTTCTCAGAGGAAAAGATGTTTTTGCTCTTCTCCCGACTGGTTTCGGCACGAGTAGCCTGGCTGTTAGTACGTCATATGCTTCGTTGATCTGATTGGTTTATTTGGCCCGTCTATCACCAACATAGGCCAATCAGCTAACCAGTATTTTCGCCCCTTCCCAAAATTACTTCAACGGAAGGTTTCCCGATGGATATGCGGAGCAAATCCATCTGGCAGAGTCAGGTTAGTAAAAGTCCATAGATAAGCCATATTGTTATATAAGCCGCAAGGTCAAAAAATGGGGAAAAGGTCGCGGCTTATAGTCTGAAAATTACGGTACATTACCTGAAACAGATGCAGTCTGGCAAAATATGATTAAACCATGTTTATCTGCATTTTGGTCGTTTCTTTTCTTTAGATTACGCACTATATACGATAATGTTAACACGAAAGGAAAACGTAAAACTCAAAAAGACTAGATTTATGTTTAAATCCAAAGCATAAAAGGTTAGCTACCGGAAGTAGCGCAGGATCCCATTTTCGTTTCAGAGAGGACTGATGAAATAGAAAGGATTTTAAGGCATTTGTTTTCTCGTGAGATACGTTATCAACCTTTAACACATATTTTGGTACATTTACTATTTTTTGAGAGGGAGAAACATAATTTATCGGTAGATCTTTTTAAAAAAAATAAAATCAAGGGCGACCCGGATGTATGTCTGGATGCAGAAATGTGCTGATGGTGCATGTGCAGAACGGATCGTGCTTCCGAGACGGATCGGGTAGACATGGATTATCCCTACTTTTCACTACTACTACTGCTACTTTTTCATCCACTAGAAGTTCGGACACTCATCTAAAGTGGCGTATCCCCTGAGTAGTGCCCTATATAGTGGTTAGGGTGGACGTTCAGACCCAAACAGCCTTTTCTGGTTCAGTTACTGTCTGCAGATAAGCATCATCATAATTTTCCAACAAAATGGCCTCGGATGCAGGAAACATCTGCAGCTGAAAGAGCCGTTCAAGCTGAGAGGGAGGCTGCAGGATGTCTAAGGAGAACCTGAACTCTAAAAGGTGGGTGTGAGAGACTCTGCATGGAGGAGAAGTCAAGGATGGATAAACGAAGGCGTCCAACAAGCCCGGACGTCCAGCTGTGCCTGATTTAGCTTCACTCAGTTAGCAAATCAAATGTTCTTCCTAAATCCCTCCAACAGAACCTGCGATGTTAGCTGCGGTTCGTCTGACACGCGTTAAATGTTTGTTATGAGTTTGTTATTCAATGATGGGTCAGCCGTTAGCGTAAGCAGGGCTGGCCTGGTCGGAGGAAGCATGCACACTCACTCACTAAGGCTTCGGCCGCGTCTCATTGTAGAGACCAGCGGCCCAGACGGACCCTCCTCCCTCAGTTGGGCGGAGCTACAGGACGGGATAGAGGAGGACAGGGACAGACGTTTCAGAGACAGATAAAAGGGAAAGCAGGATGAGGAGGAGGAGGAAGAAAATGCCAGCTCCTCTGAAGGTGCTGAAAAAAAACATTTTCCTTCTTCCTTTAAGCTTCTGATTTTCCTCTGATCTGACTCGGGTTTGGTCACTTACTCCTTGGGACTGTCTGTCCTCTCTGACGAGTCCTTTTCTCCGATCGGAGAGCTTCCGAACGCAGCAGGACGGAAAAACAGCAGACAGACAAAGAAAGAAAGACGTTCAGGATTGTTTGTTTTTTATCCTTGATCCGTCAGATCGATCTATGAAGGTAACAAAACTGAATCAGGTCCAAAAATAAGGACATTTTATATTCTACCTTTGCAGATATTCAAGAGGAAAATCATAAACATGCATTAAATATTCAAATCTATGTGCAGTTTTCAGATAAACGGATCAATATTGCAAATTTTTGAGTAAATTTTTTTAGACATTTAACCTGCAGAAAAGGAGAGTTTATGGTTAGAAGTAGGGATTCACGATATTAGGATTTTGGCCGATATCCGATATGCCGATATTTTAAAACTCATGTAGCCGATAACCGATATCGATACCGATGTTAAAGCTGGACAAAAATAAGTAGTCATTGAAAATAGCAGTTTTGTTATCCATTTCTGACACTTTGAAAAATAATATACTCAAATATATTTTCATATGCTGATACACTATATTGCCAAAAGTATTTGCTCACCCATCCAAATTATTGGAATCAGGTGTTCCAATCACTTCCATGGCCACAGGTGTATAAATTCAAGCACCTAGGCATGCAGACTGTTTTTACAAACATTTGTGAAAGAATGGGTCGCTCTCAGGAGCTCAGTGAATTCCAGCGTGGAACTGTGATAGGATGCCACCTGTGCAACAAATCCAGTCGTGAAATTTCCTCGCTCCTAAATATTCCACAGTCAACTGTCAGCTGTATTATAAGAAAATGGAAGTGTTTGGGAACGACAGCAACTCAGCCACGAAGTGGTAGGCCACGTAAACTGACGGAGCGGGGTCAGCGGATGCTGACGCGCATAGTGCGAAGAGGTCGCCAACTTTCTGCAGAGTCAATCACTACAGACCTCCAAACTTCATGTGGCCTTCAGATTAGCTCAAGAACAGTGCGCAGAGAGCTTCATGGAATGGGTTTCCATGGTCGAGCAGCTGCATCCAAGCCATACATCACCAAGTGCAATGCAAAGCGTCGGATGCGGTGGTGTAAAGCACGCCGCCACTGGACTCTAGAGCAGTGGAGACGCGTTCTCTGGAGTGACGAATCGCGCTTCTCCATCTGGCAATCTGATGGACGGGTCTGGGTTTGGCGGTTGCCAGGAGAACGGTACTTGTCTGACTGCATTGTGCCAAGTGTAAAGTTTGGTGGAGGGGGGATTATGGTGTGAGGTTGTTTTTCAGGAGCTGGGCTTGGCCCCTTAGTTCCAGTGAAAGGAACTCTGAATGCTTCAGCATACCAAGACATTTTGGACAATTCCATGCTCCCAACTTTGTGGGAACAGTTTGGAGCTGGCCCCTTCCTCTTCCAACATGACTGTGCACCAGTGCACAAAGCAAGGTCCATAAAGACATGGATGACAGAGTCTGGTGTGGATGAACTTGACTGGCCTGCACAGAGTCCTGACCTCAACCCGATAGAACACCTTTGGGATGAATTAGAGCGGAGACTGAGAGCCAGGCCTTCTCGTCCAACATCAGTGTGCGACCTCACAAATGCGCTTCTGGAAGAATGGTCAAAAATTCCCATAAACACACTCCTAAACCTTGTGGACAGCCTTCCCAGAAGAGTTGAAGCTGTTCTAGCTGCAAAGGGTGGACCGACGTCATATTGAACCCTATGGATTAGGAACGGGATGTCACTTAAGCTCATACACTATATTGCCAAAAGTATTTGCTCACCCATCCAAATTATTGGAATCAGGTGTTCCAATCACTTCCATGGCCACAGGTGTATAAATTCAAGCACCTAGGTATGCAGACTGTTTTTACAAACATTTGTGAAAGAATGGGTCGCTCTCAGGAGCTCAGTGAATTCCAGCGTGGAACTGTGATAGGATGCCACCTGTGCAACAAATCCAGTCGTGAAATTTCCTCGCTCCTAAATATTCCACAGTCAACTGTCAGCTGTATTATAAGAAAATGGAAGTGTTTGGGAACGACAGCAACTCAGCCACGAAGTGGTAGGCCACGTAAACTGACGGAGCGGGGTCAGCGGATGCTGACGCGCATAGTGCGAAGAGGTCGCCAACTTTCTGCAGAGTCAATCACTACAGACCTCCAAACTTCATGTGGCCTTCAGATTAGCTCAAGAACAGTGCGCAGAGAGCTTCATGGAATGGGTTTCCATGGTCGAGCAGCTGCATCCAAGCCATACATCACCAAGTGCAATGCAAAGCGTCGGATGCGGTGGTGTAAAGCACGCCGCCACTGGACTCTAGAGCAGTGGAGACGCGTTCTCTGGAGTGACGAATCGCGCTTCTCCATCTGGCAATCTGATGGACGGGTCTGGGTTTGGCGGTTGCCAGGAGAACGGTACTTGTCTGACTGCATTGTGCCAAGTGTAAAGTTTGGTGGAGGGGGGATTATGGTGTGGGGTTGTTTTTCAGGAGCTGGGCTTGGCCCCTTAGTTCCAGTGAAAGGAACTCTGAATGCTTCAGCATACCAAGACATTTTGGACAATTCCATGCTCCCAACTTTGTGGGAACAGTTTGGAGCTGGCCCCTTCCTCTTCCAACATGACTGTGCACCAGTGCACAAAGCAAGGTCCATAAAGACATGGATGACAGAGTCTGGTGTGGATGAACTTGACTGGCCTGCACAGAGTCCTGACCTCAACCCGATAGAACACCTTTGGGATGAATTAGAGCGGAGACTGAGAGCCAGGCCTTCTCGTCCAACATCAGTGTGCGACCTCACAAATGCGCTTCTGGAAGAATGGTCAAAAATTCCCATAAACACACTCCTAAACCTTGTGGACAGCCTTCCCAGAAGAGTTGAAGCTGTTCTAGCTGCAAAGGGTGGACCGACGTCATATTGAACCCTATGGATTAGGAACGGGATGTCACTTAAGCTCATATGTGAGTCAAGGCAGGTGAGCAAATACTTTTGGCAATATAGTGTATGTGAGTCAAGGCAGGTGAGCAAATACTTTTGGCAATATAGTGTATCAAATTGATTTTTAAAAACGCGGTATCGATCTATTTTACTTTCAAAATCTGGTGAAATTTCATCGTTCTGTTACAAACTGTTGTTATATTTTGCAAATTCTTGTGAGATTTTGTTAGTAAAATAGATCGATACCGCGTCAATATATCAACATATAAAAATATGGCAAAATTTCGTGAATTTTCGGGGGATTTCGTAGCATAACGATGACATATAGCAATATTTCATTAGTAAAAGAGATTGATATGGTGTTTTTAAATGGCAATATATCAGCATATGAAGATATTGGGATATTTTAATGGACCAATATTTTTTCCCTCGTCTTTAGAAGTTTTTAAGTCTGTAAAAAAGAAGTTTTTGAGAAAGAAGAAGAAGTAGTATTTTTTTTTTTTTACACTCAGAAGCTGATCAAATATCGGGTTAAATATCGGTGGGGTGGCCGATGTCCGATATTCAGTTTTAAGGCCGATACCGATAGGGGGCCGATCGTACATCCCTAGTTAGAAGTATATATTTTTGATATAAATTATCATTTTCTGTTAAAAATAAGAAAAACTTTTTCATTTAATTAGGAAAAGTGTTTATTTCTGTTTTGTTTTAAACAAAAAATCATTAAATTTTTTTATTAGGCTTTTAAAACGGGAATTTAAAATACATGAAATCAAGATGGGAAAAAGAAGCTATTATTGACAGGGTTCCTACAGCATAAGGTGAGTTAAATTCAAGACTTTTTAAGACTTTTTAATGCCACTTGAAATAAAAATTTAAGACCAAATTCACAAGAAAAACCTGCTTGCGACAACTTAATCCAAAGGTTTATTTTAACATAAACCACTGCACTAATGTTTCAAATGTTGAAAAGCTTCCCATACAGGAAGAAAGCTAAAAACACACAAATGACAGATATATTTGAACAATTATTTAACTGAATTCACAAACTTTGTTTTAGCAGGGAACAAAACCAATCAGTTTTAAAGCCCCAACATAACCAGTGCTAAGTCTTTTTTGCAGCTATTTTTCTTTGTATGGTTTTTTGTTAGTATGTTTGATTTGGTGATAAGTGGAGGCGTTGCAGAGACAAGGGTGGAACTAAACTGAGAAATACCGGCTGTTTCTCTGTAACTCCATTTTGACACTTTGTGTTTCGTGCTTCGCATGTGCGACTCCACTGCCTTAATTCCCATCGTTCTGAGCTTGAATGACTTCTTGCATAAATCCACTGAGCCTCATGTATGTTCCCTGGTTTTAGCCATGGAGGAAACTCTTGGCTGGAGACAATTTTGGTTACATTTACACTTGCTCATATTTACCAGACAAAAAGTTAATGGTGCATCTCCCAAATGTCCCGGCCGCAACAACGCTTTATTGGTTCCGCTATCGGGACGGAACAAATAATGGAGAGCAGTTATTTCTTTAAAATAAAAAAAAAATTTGTCGATTTTAACGTTTTAATTAGATTACAAAAATAAATCGTAATAAAAATGATCCTATTTATGATGTTTTAGAAATTAAGACCTACGAAAGACTGATTTAAGACATTTTAATACCAATTAAGGCCTTAGTTTTATCTTGAAGGATTCAATGCCTTTTAAGACTTTTTAAGGAACCGCAGGAACCCTGATTAAGGTGTTGGAGAAGTACTGGGAGAGGATTTATGGATATAAATGGAAAACCACATATTCGCTCATTTGGAGAGAGTACAACGGGAAGAACACAATTAGGTTCTTCACGAGTCCAGCACAGAGAAAATATGGCGATTCCCGTTGCTGAAGATCTTGTAGTGCCGTAGAAGCGGATCATTTTCATATATTCTGGGGTTTCCTGTTGACATATATCAGTTGACAGTTGGCCGAGGTCAAACCTTTTCTTACACAGCAACACTTTTTTTAGCCTTTGCTAAATCTCGGCTGGATCGCTGTCTATTTTTAAAGCTTGTCTTAAAACCTATTTTTATTCGTTGGCTTTTAACATAGCGGGAAACTCTCTGTTTTTGGTTTGTTTTATTGTTCTTTTTTTACATGGTTTTATTTGTTTTAATTCATTTATCTAATTATTTTACCTCCCCAAAATCTGACTAAAAAAGACTAAATTGAAAGTATAAAAAAACAAAATCTGAACAAGAAAAAGGGGAATTGGTTTGAATCTGTCATACTTAATCTGAATGTGCAATAAATAAAAGAAATAAAAAAAGAAAAACTGTAATAAAATAAATTAATTGAGACATAGAGATAGAGAGAGAGAGATTGAGCAGAAACGTCCTTTTTCCAGGACCTGGTTTAGCTACAAGGCTTGGCTAACTGCATGCAGCGAGGCTAATGCTTTATCCGGTTTCATTTTTGAAGCACCAGGATCTGACCTAGCGTGGATAAAGACATGTTGGATGGATTTAAAGCATTTTTAGAAAAGGCAAAGAAGAACAAACAATCTGGAATTCACATGGAAAATAATAGAATATAGTCGACTTTTTCTAGGTGTTTTTTAATTTGCATAGTTGCTCTTAAATTAACACATTCTCAGAAAATAAATTGTGTTTTTATGTATTAAAAAGTATAAAACTGACTAATAGCTTCTCCATTAATAAACTGGTTCAATATTGGACCATGCAACACAGATTTACCTTCACAAAGCCTCAGAAGGGCAAGATTTATGTACAAAAAGTAAACCTGTAAAATTATTTTTTGTTTTTACAATGTTGGTAAACGTCTTTTTTGAATTTATAGCGCCTCCTGGAGAAAACTGCAGCAGAATTGGAGTTAATATTTAAAACAGACCAGACTTGTTGGGAGGTAAAGGTTATTGTGTGGGGGTATTTAGGTGGATAATTGTTTAAATAAAACTATAAAATAACACACCGCGTTTGATGCTAAATGTTCAGTTATTATTATTTTTTTTATTTTAAAACTTCGGTTATGTCTCTGTTTAACAAGAATGTTGGTCACTTTATGATCATTAAAGGAGAACTTGGACTAAGAAAAAAATCAATAAAACACAAATGAAAACAAATAAATAAAATGCGAGTTTAGCTAAAATTTTATTTTAGACAGTTAGCTTTTTTTATTTAAAAATGTTCCATTATGATTAAATGTTGGTTTTAACTGGCATCTGGCCTCTTTGCTCTTTATTTCGTTACCAGGATGTCTGTTGTTTGGTCCTTGTTTCCACGGCAACTGAAAACCTGATTGAACATCTACCGCTGCTCCGCCCTCCAGCCTGTTTTTTACTCCGGCCGTTAAACTAGTGTTTCTCACCATCCGTAAGTCTTCTGCGGTTTGGGCAGCGGGTCGTCGAAGAAGGAGTCCTCTTCATCGTGGTCCACTTCTTCATCCAGCTCCAGGTCCAGATGCTCCATCCTCACAGAGGAAGAGGAGCGCTCTTGCTGCTGAAGGTCTCTTTTGGGCAGGGAGAGTATCCGCTCCAGGTCCTGAACACCAACAGAGTTTCAACAAAGCTGGGTAACGAATGAGGAGGAGGGGTTCTTGAAAACTCCTGCATCATACAGAAGATACTGAACTTTCTGCATCTGATTCTTTAGCCAAAACCTTTGGAAAGCAAGTTAGTAAACAGAACAGAAGGAAATCTTTAGTCAAAATGTTCTCCTTCCTGATTTTTTTCTCCTTCAGGTAAATCTTTCCAGACCTGCAGACAGGAGCCGATGAAAAGGAGGCGGAAGCCTGGGGAGCTTTTTAAAGTAGGGATGCACGATATAATGGGCCCCCTATCGGTATCGGCCTTAAAACTGAATATCGGACATCGGCCACCCCACCGATATTTAACCCGATATTTGATCAGCTTCTGAGTTTCTAAAGTCTAAAAAAATAAAAAATAAAAATAAATACTACTTCTTCTTCCTCAAAAACTTCTTTTTTACAGACTTAAAAACTTCTAAAGACGAGGGAAAAAATATTGGTCCATTAAAATATCCCAATATCTTCATATGCTGATATATTGCCATTTAAAAACACCATATCAATCTCTTTTACTAATGAAATATTGCTATATGTCATCGTTATGCTACGAAATCCCCCGAAAATTCAGAAAATGTTGCCATATTTTTATATGTTGATATATTGACGCGGTATCGATCTATTTTACTAACAAAATCTCACAAGAATTTGCAAAATATCACGAGAGTTTGTAACAGAAAGATGAAATTTCACGAGATTTTGAAAGTAAAATAGATCGATACCGCGTTTTTAAAAATCTATTTGATATCAGCATATGAAAATATATTTGAGTATATTATTTTTCAAAGTGTCAGAAATGGAAAACAAAACTGCTATTTTCAATGACTACTTATTTTTGTCCAGCTTTAACATCGGTATCTATATCGGTTATCGGCTACATGAGCTTTAAAATATCGGCATATCGGATATCGGCCAAAATCCCAATATCGTGCATCCCTATTTTAAAGGTTTAAATTTAATATTGGTTCTGCTTGCAGGACTTGAGAAAGGACACCGTGTTACCTGACCTTCAGGGTCCGACCTGCAGGGTCCACCTATGGAGTGAGCAGGCCCCTGATTAAAACCTTCTATCCTCTACGCTGTGGTCTGCTGGGCCCCTGGCAGCGCAGAGCGGGACAGAAAAAGACTGAACAAAGTGGTGAGAAAGGCCGTTTCTGTCCTAGGCTGCACTCTGGACTCATTGGCTGAGAGGACAGTGCTGTCCAAGCTTCCATCCATCATGGACGCCACCATCCACCCTCTGCAGCCGACTGGAGAGGAGCTGAGCAGCTCCTTTACTCAAAGACTTGTGTAATAACATATATTTTTTATATCTTTATATTTTTATATCTTTACTGTACACAAGTCACCTTAAATCTATTCTTCTTTATGTTTACCAACACATGTATATATCAGGATGCACTGCATATACTTCATGCACCTTTTCCTCTTTTGTAAACCTTCTGTTTGTTTTTAAGAATAAATTTCTCCATTTTGAGATCAATAAAGTTCTATTCTATTCTATTCTAATGCCAGCCAAGCAGTTCTCAACATGAATTGGTTTGTAACAGCAGCCATACTTATACACAGTGGGAACAGAGATCATTTAAATTCAAGCTTCTAAAAATTCAATTCAGTTTATTTCTATAGCAACCGATGTCATCTCACGGTGCTTTACAGAGACAATTCAATCAGATCATCAAGTCAAAAGATTCAAAGCTTTCCATCTTAGGAAAACCAGTTGATTGCATCGACTCATTGACTCGAATGCTATCCTTCACATCAAGCATGCTTGTAGCGACAGTGGAGAGGAAAAACTAGCCGGTACAGGGTAATACGCATAGTGTAGAGTGGATGTAGGTATGTGGTACAACTAGGTGTAAATCACATCCATCATGGCGATTCGATTCAGTATCGATTTCCTGACCCAACGATTCAATTATTTTCGATACTCAAGAATAAACCACGATACGATTTGATTAATCGGTTAATTTTTTTTTTATTTACACCTTACAGGCTAAACAAAGTTTAAAGTTTGAAATAAATCAATGAAAGCTGTAATGTCGTTATGCATTATTTTTAGAAACAACAGCAAATAACAGAAGTAGAAAAGTTGCATCAAAAAATACTGCAAAAATACTGCAGAAAATCAGTGCAATGAGTGCAATGCAATACCTCGGCTCCAGACTCCCCCCCCCCTCCACAGACGCTCCGCTGCTCTTCTCTCTAATTGTAGCTGACCGCAAACAGCGCCGCAGATAGGAGGCCAGCTTGTTTTGTTTTTATGACCGAAATTGCGGAAAACAACTCGTGAAGTTTGACCCGCTAGAAGAGCGAGGTGCGGGAGAACGCTGGGACACTTTTTCCACCTGGATCTCCGCTCTTTTTGGCCCTCATGTCCCTCCGTCGTCGGACTAAACTCGCCCCCACTTCCTCGCCGCCTCGGCCGTATCTAGACCCACACCGTGTAGCACAGACCACGCTTCAATATTGAGCATAAATCAAAAATGTCTGCATCAAGCTCACTGCGACACACTGCTGTAAGAGTATAACCAGGAAGCGCGGTAGGAGGGCAAAATAGGTTTAGCGCCACCGCAGCACGGGAGGGAGAATTACGCCCAGGAGCAAATGGATAAAAATAGACCGGAGGAAAAAAAAAAAAACATGAATCGATTATCTTGCGGACGTATCGATGCATCGGATCGTCGGCTGTTGGATCGATGCATCGATACAAAACCATTATTATTTACACCCCTAGGTACAACTGCAGGTACCAGGGTAATAAAAGCGGACATATTTAATCGGCAGGTTTTGAAATTTTAAGTTAATTTAGCATTAATAAACCGTTATAGAGGAGTGATCCCAGCTCCCCGATCAGCTGCTCTTATTGGTTGATGTGTGTCGAGCAGCAAAAAAAAGACATTTTTCAACTTTCAAGCATCTGCTGCTTATGAAATGTGAGCGAAGTTTCCGCAAGGAAGTTAGGGCATACCAAAGGCAGACTTCTCAAAAACAGGACATACAATTTGTAATTTTATTTTTTTTTTTTTACAATGTACGCCCTTACACATTGCTGGCTAAAAGCCTGCTTTATGATATGGTTTGTAAATCGGGACAAACCTAGATATTTGTAAAAGTAAAGTATGTGTTGTGAATTGCCGCTATATAAATAAACTGAATTGAAAATGGAAGTTGGTTAGTTGATTAATTAGCAAAGCAGAATGGCAACCATTTACATTGCATCTCTCTTGTTTTTTTGTTTGTTTTTTTAAAGAAAATATAATTTAACTTGGGGGCCTGTCCGGGATCTTTCTTCATTTTTTTTTTTTTTTTACATGCTTTTTTGCTTTGTGATAAGGTTAGAGATGAAGGAGTCGACATGAGACAAGAAGATAAACAAGGGATGATGGTGCTTTTCTTAGTGCAGTTAACAATTTGAACTTCTGAGGTGTAAAATAGCCCTGCCACACTGTCCCTGCTACTGTAATAATTAAATATGGGATATTTTTCTGTTTTTAAAGTGCTTTAAGGGTTTTAAATGTCTCAAAGCAAAAGAGAAAATTCCAAAGGAACAGAATGATTTAACACTGCAGCAGTTCACTGAAAGAATATTATTTTTTTTATAAGTCATTAAAGATTAATTTGCCTTGAATGATTTTGTTAAATCTCTAAACTTGAAAGGTTTTCTGTGTACCGAGTAGCACAAATTGTTAGGTTTATTTAATGATGATAATAAAAATAATGTGTGTTCATATGAAACATTGTAGAAATGAGATGCTTCACTCTGCCTTGTGATTCAGTCTTATGACCTGATCAACTTTCCTGTCAGAACAATACTCTCTTTTGTAACCATGTGTTATGTTCTGGGGGTCGTTGAAAGAGTTGGAAGTTAGCTTGGGCTCTTTCCACTCCTGCAGGAGTTGTTTGAATCTCTTTCCTGTGTGGACTCAGTCTCTCTTTTACGAACCTACATTTTTGAACCTAACACAAATTATACACAACTTTGAAAACTCGATATGATAACATATAACATACCGTAAATCCTCTAATATTGGCCTGTATTCCATTAGTAGCCGGGTCTCTAATAATGGCCGGTTTTGCTGTCGGCGGGGGTAAATACTGGCCGGATGCTAATACAGGCCAGGGCTATAATTGGAACCAACGATGTTCCTGTGCAGTCCTCAGCAACCTGTGATAGTAACATGCAAGTACCACAGGGGGGCAGTGTTTGCTAACGAATCCAATCCATTAGCTTGGGAATTCCCATCCTTAGCGCAGACAGTGCTGCAGACAGGAGGCCGGATTGTTTGGTTTTTATGACCGGCTGTGATGGCAGAACAGTTTCCATTCATTTATTTTAAAACTTTGTTTGGCCAAGAATCCATTCTGTGTCTTTTTTTTGTATTGCCGTACAGAAAAATAGCAGCTGCTGGAAGATGTCTGAATAATGTTCTGTAAACCGTTATGGTAACTGTACTTTTTCAATAAATGAACCTAGTATTTTATCGGTTCAAAGAGACACAATCTGTTTTTATTCATTCCACTGGTCGTCTGTTTTGATCAAATAAAATAGAGGCCTGCCTCTAATTCTGGCCTCCTTCCAATAATGGCCTGGACCAAGATGCACCTGAGTGAAATAAAGGCCCCGGCCTATATTAGAGGATTTACGGTATTAAGTCCAGGAGATTTGGAGGCTCAGATGTTGCTATGAAAATAAACGGAAAAAAAGGGAAGATCAAAAGCAAAAACATCAGGAAAGCAAATCAGCAGACAGTGAAGGAAAACATATTTGCTTTTCAAAAATAGCTTTACCATTAGAATCACAGTTAAAATCTAATTTTCTAATCAAAAGTCTAAAAACACCCAAAAAAAAACCCACAAGGAAAATGTTGGAATAACTGCAAGACGTCTGAATTCAGATAGTATTTGATAAATTAGAGCTTAACTAAACAGATTTACAGCTAATTTCATGCAATCTGATTACGACCGTGTGAGGATTAATGTAAGAATCAAATTCTCCTACATTTAACTACTGAATCCAAACATCAGAAGGGTTTTCTACAGAGCATGTTGGTCCCAACTGGGCAGATTTGAAATCCATCTGAGCTTTAAGAACTCTCATAAATAGAGCTGGATGGTTAGATGCGTCAGTGGATTTACGCTATGTGTCGAGTGTCTTCATCCCCATTCACTCTCAATGAGAGCTTAAAGCAACAACCTCTTAATAAACGATTTCCTGTCCGATCCGAAACCAAACCGGACTCGGTGTGTTTTACGGCTTAGCTCCGAATTAACGTCTACATTAAGAAAACTAAAAATCAAATATACATCTAAAAATATCTCTTGATAAACAATCAACAGTCTTCCAACAATGGAATTTCCCATTGGGAACCTGCTAGCACTAAGTTGCTAACCGGTTAGCAAGATGCTTCCCACAAACCAGCCACAACGAACCTTCCGCCACAACAATCCCGCCCCCCTGATAAACGACCAATCACATTCACTTTATTCACTCGTTTAAAGAACAGACGCTTCCCTACAACTTTAAATGTAAATCTTCTTGTTTCTTGGGCAAAGTATCTCACTTATCTTCTCAATTCGAGAAAAAAATGCATTTTTTTAAGAAAAAAATTACTTCTTGATTTCTAGATTTGTGTTTTTTGCAGTTTAAGATCAACAAGGACTTTAAAGAAATTTAAGCCACGTCTAAAAGGTGCAAACAGCTTATTTTCTATGAGGTTTAATTTTCAGACCATCCATCCTCTAAAGAAAAAACAAAATAACCTTCCTGTCTGTCTCCATCTCATTTTTTGGACTATGATTTGATCAGGAAATCCTCTGGAAATGATTCCCTGTCCTGCAGACGCAGACGGACTTCAGTGTCTCTGTAGTAAACCCCTCTGTGCTTCCCAGTGGATGGCAGACAGGAAACATGGGAGAGCAGTGGATGTGAGAATGAGGCTGTAGAGATCCGGGTTAGTGAGCTCTAAGGCTGTTTATGGTGATCATGTTAGTATCCTCAGCTGTTTACCTGAGCTGCTGTCTGGCTCTTCTGACCTTTGAACCTGGGGATCTGTGCACAACACGGACAGCATCCATCAGAGCTGCAGACCAGGAGCTGCCGCCTCATAGAGAAAACAGCAGTTTCTGCTCTTTGATTTAAACTAACCAGAAACCTTCAAACCTTTTTAGACCGATAATATTTTTATATGAAACTATGTTTAAAGGATAGTAAAGGAAAATTGAAAGATAAAATAAATTGAACTGTGCAGAAAAGAAGCCTTTATTGTGAGGATTTTCCCAGTTTTTCTACGTTCTGGTTCCATGTCAGAGATAAACGGGAAGCTGTTATGTTTCTGTTGGACGCTGTGAGCGGATCAACCCTGAATGGGATCCATGCTGTTAGTTTTTTCTTTCTCTCACTTAAGATTCTTCAAGTTTAGAATGAGATAAAGCTGCCACCCACCTTACTGGCAGGCGGAGAGCCCGGTTTGTCTTCAGGTTTCTGGGTTTGAGCTCCAGTTTCATCTGAATCCCCAACAACCTGCAAACGGCGCAGACCAACCAATCAGAGGATTTCTTTTAAATATTTTTTTAAATCAAATATCTTTGTTTCTGAATCATCATAAAGTTATAAACATTTCTATGAGGATCTGAGGTTTGGGGAGATTAAAGGTTAAGTCACATAAAACTGAGCGATTCATCGGTAATATAAATTATCAAAAAACAAAAAAAAACTGCCTGAAAAGAGCTGGGACCACTGTTTCCATGGTTACTGCTGGTAATACACTAACACGAAATTGAGTTTGAAATCCTGCGTAGCACGGATGGTGGGAGAACTTGCATGTATGTCAGGGGTTGACGTTAAGGATTTTTACCACTTGCCCTTTGGATAAGTGACTTTCACATTTCATTTGCCCAGAAACAATTTTTGTTTTTTAGCCTGCTAAGTAAAAAAAAATGTGTCTGAATCGCTCCAATTCTCGGAAAAAAACCACGCCATCTGGCGGAAAATGGCGCCGGCAATGCTTCTGGATCGTTTTCATCGAATGTCGGTGATTTTATAGTAATTTTGAGTGATAAATAACTTTTTTTTTGCGATCATTGTACTTGCCCGGTGGGCAAATGCAATGAAATTTGTACTCTCCCAACAATAAAAACTACTTGCCCCGGGAGCTCGGGCGATGGTTAACATCGAGTCGTGTATGTACTGTATGTACTACGATGGTGTTGAGGCAAATATGGCAGAATTTAAAAAATCTTGTATAAAAAGTTTGTGTATCCAGTTCCTGTTATTTTTATTATTTATTTTATTATTTTAGCTTTTCTTATTTTATTTCTAATAAAAACTCGTAAAAACATGAAATTTTAGGAAGAAGAACCTATAATGTTTATCCTCGGCTGCAGCCTGAATGCAGCATTGTCTGTCAGATCTTTGGAGTGGAAAAATGGAAAATTATCTCACCACACATCTGCACTGAGAGAAGAGACGTCTGTAGATCTCCAGGAAGGACTGGAAGTCGATGTCTGCAGAAAATATCACAGGAATGAGAAGAACGAACCGGTAAGAGGCTTTAGAACATTTGAGGAACATGGTCAGTTGGACAGATAGTTGAGCTTTTAAAGTCTCCTCTGGGAAACCCCTGGACCGGCATTTCTGAAGAACCTGGACCGGCATTTTTAAGGAATCTGGACCGGCTTTTCTGAAGAACCGGGACCAGCAATTTTAAGGAACGTGGACCGGCTTTTCTGGAGAACCTGGACCGGCATTTTTAAGGAACGTGGACCGGCTTTTCTGTAGAACCTGGACCGGCATTTTTAAGGAATCTGGACCGGCTTTTCTGAAGAACCTGGACCGGCTTTTCTGAAGAACCGGGACCAGCAATTTTAAGGAACGTGGACCGGCTTTTCTGGAGAACCTGGACCGGCATTTTTAAGGAACGTGGACCGGCTTTTCTGTAGAACCTGGACCGGCATTTTTAAGGAACGTGGACCGGCTTTTCTGTAGAACCTGGACCGGCATTTTTAAGGAGCCTGGACCGGCTTTTCTGAAGAACCTGGACCGGCATTTTTAAGGAGCCTGGACCGGCATTTTTAAGGAACCTGGACCGGCTTTTCTGAAGAACCTGGACCGGCTTCTCTAAAGAACCTGGACCGGCTTTTCTGAAGAACCTGGACCGGCATTTTTAAGGAGCCTGGACCGGCTTTTCTGAAGAACCTGGACCGGCATTTTTAAGGAACCTGGACCGGCATTTTTAAGGAACCTGGACCGGCATTTTTAAGGAACGCGGACCGGCTTTTCTGAAGAACCGGGACTGGCATTTTTAAGGAACCTGGACTGGCATTTTTAAGGAACGTGGACCGGCTTTTCTGAAGAACCTGGACCGGCTTCTCTGAAGAACCTGGACCGGCTTTTCTGAAGAACCTGGACCGGCATTTTTAAGGAGCCTGGACCGGCTTTTCTGAAGAACCTGGACCGGCATTTTTAAGGAGCCTGGACTGGCATTTTTAAGGAACCTGGACCGGCTTCTCTGAAGAACCTGGACCGGCTTCTCTGAAGAACCTGGACCGGCTTTTCTGAAGAACCTGGACCGGCTTCTCTGAAGAACCTGGACCGGCTTTTCTGAAGAACCTGGACCGGCTTTTCTAAAGAACCTGGACCGGCATTTTTAAGGAGCCTGGACCGGCTTTTCTGAAGAACCGGGACCGGCATTTTTAAGTAACCTGGACCGGCATTTTTAAGGAACCTGGACCGGCTTTTCTGAAGAACCTGGACCGGCTTTTCTGAAGAACCTGGACCGACATTTTTAAGGAACCTGGACCGACATTTTTAAGGAACCTGGACCGGCTTTTCTGAAGAACCTGGACCGGCATTTTTAAGGAACCTGGGCCGGCATTTTTAAGGAACCTGGACCGGCTTTTCTGAAGAACCTGGACCGGCTTTTCTGAAGAACCTGGACCGGCATTTTTAAGGAGCCTGGACCGGCTTTTCTGAAGAACCTGGACCGGCATTTTTAAGGAACCTGGACCGGCATTTTTAAGGAACCTGGACCGGCTTTTCTGAAGAACCTGGACCGGCTTTTCTGAAGAACCTGGACCGACATTTTTAAGGAACCTGGACCGACATTTTTAAGGAACCTGGACTGGCTTTTCTGAAGAACCGGGACTGGCAATTTTAAGGAACCTGGACCGGCTTTTCTGAAGAACCTGGACCGGCTTTTCTGAAGAACCTGGACCGACATTTTTAAGGAACCTGGACCGACATTTTTAAGGAACCTGGACCGACATTTTTAAGGAACCTGGACTGGCTTTTCTGAAGAACCGGGACTGGCAATTTTAAGGAACCTGGACCGGCTTTTCTGAAGAACCTGGACCGGCTTTTCTGAAGAACCTGGACCGACATTTTTAAGGAACCTGGACCGGCTTTTCTGAAGAACCTGGACCGGCTTTTCTGAAGAACCTGGACCGGCATTTTTAAGGAGCCTGGACCGGCTTTTCTGAAGAACCTGGACCGGCATTTTTAAGGAACCTGGACCGGCATTTTTAAGGAACCTGGACCGGCATTTTTAAGGAACGCGGACCGGCTTTTCTGAAGAACCGGGACTGGCATTTTTAAGGAACCTGGACTGGCATTTTTAAGGAACGTGGACCGGCTTTTCTGAAGAACCTGGACCGGCTTCTCTGAAGAACCTGGACCGGCTTTTCTGAAGAACCTGGACCGGCATTTTTAAGGAGCCTGGACCGGCTTTTCTGAAGAACCTGGACCGGCATTTTTAAGGAGCCTGGACTGGCATTTTTAAGGAACCTGGACCGGCTTCTCTGAAGAACCTGGACCGGCTTCTCTGAAGAACCTGGACCGGCTTTTCTGAAGAACCTGGACCGGCTTCTCTGAAGAACCTGGACCGGCTTTTCTGAAGAACCTGGACCGGCTTTTCTGAAGAACCTGGACCGGCATTTTTAAGGAGCCTGGACCGGCTTTTCTGAAGAACCGGGACCGGCATTTTTAAGTAACCTGGACCGGCATTTTTAAGGAACCTGGACCGGCTTTTCTGAAGAACCTGGACCGGCTTTTCTGAAGAACCTGGACCGACATTTTTAAGGAACCTGGACCGACATTTTTAAGGAACCTGGACCGGCTTTTCTGAAGAACCTGGACCGGCATTTTTAAGGAACCTGGGCCGGCATTTTTAAGGAACCTGGACCGGCTTTTCTGAAGAACCTGGACCGGCTTTTCTGAAGAACCTGGACCGGCATTTTTAAGGAGCCTGGACCGGCTTTTCTGAAGAACCTGGACCGGCATTTTTAAGGAACCTGGACCGGCATTTTTAAGGAACCTGGACCGGCTTTTCTGAAGAACCTGGACCGGCTTTTCTGAAGAACCTGGACCGACATTTTTAAGGAACCTGGACCGACATTTTTAAGGAACCTGGACTGGCTTTTCTGAAGAACCGGGACTGGCAATTTTAAGGAACCTGGACCGGCTTTTCTGAAGAACCTGGACCGGCTTTTCTGAAGAACCTGGACCGACATTTTTAAGGAACCTGGACCGACATTTTTAAGGAACCTGGACCGACATTTTTAAGGAACCTGGACTGGCTTTTCTGAAGAACCGGGACTGGCAATTTTAAGGAACCTGGACCGGCTTTTCTGAAGAACCTGGACCGGCTTTTCTGAAGAACCTGGACCGACATTTTTAAGGAACCTGGACCGGCTTTTCTGAAGAACCTGGACCGGCTTTTCTGAAGAACCTGGACCGGCATTTTTAAGGAGCCTGGACCGGCTTTTCTGAAGAACCTGGACCGGCATTTTTAAGGAACCTGGACCGGCATTTTTAAGGAACCTGGACCGGCTTTTCTGAAGAACCTGGACCGGCTTTTCTGAAGAACCTGGACCGACATTTTTAAGGAACCTGGACCGACATTTTTAAGGAACCTGGACCGACATTTTTAAGGAACCTGGACTGGCTTTTCTGAAGAACCGGGACTGGCAATTTTAAGGAACCTGGACCGGCTTTTCTGAAGAACCTGGACCGGCTTTTCTGAAGAACCTGGACCGACATTTTTAAGGAACCTGGACCGGCTTTTCTGTGGGTCTCAGCAGAACTCACAAATAAAACATCGCCTCTAAAAGCGCCTAAGAACCAAATCATACAGGGAACCAGAACTCTGATCCCCTCTGACTCACCGCTGCCTGCAGCTCTGAGCTCATCGTCCACAAATGTCTCCAACATGTTCCTACAAACACAAGCAGCAGATGTTGATCTGACCAGTGAAACCAGTAGGAGGTGTGAAGGAGAACGTTCCTACTTGTTCAGGCCGGGCAGTAGATCCCTGAAGACAGACTTCAGGTCGTCTTTTCTCACTGAGCCCCGCTGATCCTGCAGCACAGAGAACGGGTCAGAACGCCTTTGGGTCGGACAGAGCCGGCGTTGGACCGAAGCACTCACCTTGTCGTGAGAGTCGAAGGCCTTCCGAGCGGTTCGGATCTGTTTCTGGGAGAGTTCCTGCAGAGCAGACGGAAAGAACGGTCAGAACCGAGAAGTCTGGGACAACGGGAACAGATGAAAGTCCTGCAGAACCACTGAAACCACTGGATCTATGGATCCAGAACCTTCCAATGATTAAAACATATTTAGTTTTTCTTTGCAGAAGGACAGAAAATTAAGCTCGGTGTTCTGAAACCTCACAGAACCCGACCATCAGCTCACCCTCAGGACGGGTCCACTTCTGTCTCCCTGCCAACACAAACGCAGATGTTAATGGTTGGTTCTCTGAAGCAGCAGGACAGAACCTGAACTGGACCGGTGGGTCTGACCTCATTGATGACGGACGGCTCGTCTTTCTGTCGGCTCCTCCGGACCAGCTCCAGTAAAACCGGCGAGTTTCTGTTCAGCGCCGACTCGGACAGACCCAGCTCCCTGCAGACCAGGTCCCGGCCGTCCAAACCGTTCAGCTGCAGGAGGACAGACAGACCCGACGTCAAGGTTCTGAACAAACAGGCTGTAGGAACTTCTACTTCGATCATTTCAATACATTTAGAATAGAATCGGTTCTGTTTGACCCGATGAGTTCAGTTCTAGGAAACAAGAATGACTCCAACTAATCCGAGCTCCTCAGAGAAAAACGTTTCAGAAACAACCTGAAAAATTCCTGATCCGTTAATCAAGCAGAGGTCCGCTCGGATCAGCCGGGTCAGAACCTACCGAGTTAATCTCCGGCTGGAAGACGGCGAGGCTGAAGTCCAGACTGAAGACCTGCAGGAAGTCCAGGATGAGACTGGCCACCAGGCGTCCTGCAGGGACAGGAACCAGATCAGAACCAGAACACCAGGAACCGGAGCAGAACATCAGGAACCTGATCAGAACCTCAGGAACCAGAAAATCAGGAAACGGACCTCAGGAACCTGATAAGAACTTTAGGAACCAGAATATGAGGAACATGATTACAGAAACCGGACCAGAAGACCAGCAACCTGATGAGAATATCAGGAACCGGACATCAGGAACCGGATCAGAACATCAGGGACCTGATCAGAACTTTGGAAACCAGAATATCAGGAACCAGACACCAGAAACCGGACCAGAAGACCAGCAACCGGATGTGAACATCAGGAACGGGACCAGAACTTTGGGAACTAGACCAGAACATCAGGAACTGGACCAGAACATAAGGAACTGGACATCAGGAACCAGACCAGAACTTTGGGAACTGGACCAGAAATCAGGAACCGGAACAAAACATCAGGAACCAGATCAGAACAGCCCCTCCTCAAGTTTGTTCAAACTGCAGAAATGATCTAGAGCAGAGGTCTTCAACCGGGGGTCCGGGACCCCTAGGGGGTCCGCAGAGGTACTGCATGGGGGTCGCGAAAGTTTTGGTTGATTAGACTTTTTTTTATATATTCCATGCTGCCACTAATTGAAATGTCTTTAAATCCACATTAACATGAATTCAACAGACTGTAGTAAACAGATAAATGAAGATGTCTTTCAGTCATCAATGCAGATCTGCGTTTCTGAGTAAAAATAAGTCAAATATCTGACAAAAGAGTGGAAATTAGAAGATTATATAAAAAATGTTTAATAGTAAGAACAGAAACATAGACTCTAGATTTTTTTAGTTCTTCAAAAAGTCAGAGAAAGAATATCAAGATTTGACGCATAAAATATCTAAAAACATGACTTATATTTTTAGATAGTCTTCAACATAAATGACAAATGAACCAGAGAAAAGAGGTGAAACAGGTATAGGATAGCTGTAACCTAAACCTTTTTTTTTATATTCCCCCCTGCAGTTTTTTCCACTAATTGAAATATCTTCAAATCCACATTAACATGACTTCAACAGACTGCAGTAAACAGATAAATGGAGGCAGAAGATGTCTTTCAGTCATCAATGCACACATTCAGCGACACACAGGAGCTCTTTTAAGGTGGCCACCGTTTCATTCACAACACCTGTCCCATCAACCAGGAATCAGAATCAGAAATACTTTAATAATCCCGGGGAGGGATTACTTTAGTTACATTACTCCATCTGTAATAGAGTGACTATAGGACCAGGTTGATAGAACACTATTTCATACAATATATATAATTAGGGGGTCACCGCTCCATCTCGCCATCAGTTTGGGGGTCCTTAGCCTGGAAAACGTTGAAGACCGCTGATCTAGAGCCTAAAGTCCAAAGGTTCTAAAACAAACTGCAGTATGAAGCTGCACCAGCGCCCCCCTGTGGCCTTAAAGCAACACTGCAATCCTGATTTCTCTGCTCCTTCTTGGAACTGAACTGATCTCAGTCTGCTGTCCTCCACCTGGTCGGAGTCTTTCCCAGGATGAAGGTCTGCAGCTGAGCCTTTGAACGAAGCAGAGGGACGAACTCACCGTCTTTGGTGCTGAGACATTTCTTCAGGTTCTCATTAATGAGCGGCGTTTTGTTCTGTAACAGGATAAAGGAGAACTTTAGCTGATGATAACAGCAGGAGTGGATGGAATCATGAAGAAGCTTCACCTCCAGTCGGTCCTGGTCCTCCATGGCCAGAAACACGGCTGCCCTCATCTCCGCCTGGCAGAACAGACAAACCAAAGCAGGACGACGTTTATTTGCTGCAGCTTGAACTCCTCCTCACTCACATCCTAGAAACTTAGGCCGGACGGTCAGACGCTCTGCTAGAACAATTACAACCCGCCTGTTTGAATTGATAAAAAACAAGGGCTGAGCAGCATCCTCGCTGCTACTATCCTGCTTTTTATGTCGCCATTAAAAGTGATTTCTCTCCATTCTACGGCGATTGTTTCAACTGTTGATGACTCTGTTTTTTTCTCATAGTAGCTGCATCTGGTCTGTTCCTGTTTGGCTGTGACTCCATCCTGGAGAGAAATATCAACTGTGCTGCTGCCATCAACACCTTTGTTTCTAGATGCTGGAGCTTGGCCTGTTTTCCAGTGTAGTCCTGTTTCTCTGACTGTGACTAACTGGATGTGCTCTCTTCATCCTCTGACATGGGAGCTGGCTCGGAGCTCGTCTGCCTGGCTGTGTGTTTCCTGGACGGGGCCGCCTGTGGAGCTGGTTGACAGTTGCCTTTTGTATCTATGCTTCTTTTTCTATGTCTGCTTCTGTCTCCTTGAACCCCAGTGGGCCTCAGCAGATGGCCGCTCACACTGAGCCTGGTTCTGCTGGAGGTTTCTTCCTGTTCAAAGGGAGTTTTTCCTCTCCACTGTCGCTACAAGCATGCTAAGTATGAGGGATTGCTGAAGAGTCAATGAAATCAGCTGGTTTTCCTTAGATAGAAAACTTTGAATCTCACTGACTGGATGATCTGGTGAACTGGAAAGTGACCTGATGATGTGAATGATGTGAATTGGTGCTATAGAAAAAAACTGAAATGAAATTGAATTGAATTTGGAACTGGTATTAATTTATCAGTATAATTTGCCCAACATTAGCTGCACATGGATGAAGTGTATAATTAAAACCAAAGCTCTGGTTCGATTTTACCCTTAAATAAACAAAATTAACCTGAATATGTTGACTTCATCTCACCACAGAGTCTAAAGCAGATAATAGATTATGTAAATAGCTTTGGAATTATAACCACCGACCACACAGTAATATAAAAATAAAAAAATACCAAATTAAAACTCCAAAAAAGTTGTCTTATTCCTTTAAAACGTGACAGGTTTTACCGGCAGATCCTGTTTCCTCATAGTTGAAGCAGTCAAACAGCCTCATCAGTAGCTTAGCATCCCGGTGCTAGCTGCTAACCTGTAACCGGAAACTCTTCGCTTCTGTTTTAAGTTCCGTTTTCTGACCTTCAGCTTGTTCAGGACTCCGCTGTTCTCCAGGTTCTGGATGAGCAGGTCCCTCAGCTCGGTGTCGTCTTCCGCAGCAGACATGTTCACCTGGATCTGTTAGCCGCTGCTGTCAGGACAACAGACCAAAACAAACTATCCGGAAGTGCCTCTTCTTCTTCTTCTCTTGTTGTTTAATGGCGGGTGGCAAACATTTGTTCGGTGCGCTTTACCACCACCAACTGGTGAGGAGTGTGGATCAGAATGGCTCTATTCATAAAGATACTTATATTTATTTACCTATATATCTATATCTATAATATTACTTTACAAATATTGAATCCTTATAATTATTCTTGTTATTATTAAATATTTAAATAAATATTGATACGTTTTTTTTTACTTTTTTTCTGCAGAATATCTCAAATCAAATTTAAAATTCTCCTTATTTAGGCCTCTAACCTAATTCCTTCTTTCTTCTTCATACTTCTTCGATACATCTCTACATGTTCTACTGTTTCATCTTGTCCACAAAGTTCACATTTGCCTGACATATGTTCCCCTATTCTGAATAGATTATTATTTAATCCTTTATGTCCAAATCTAAGTCTTGAAATAACTGTTTTCTCTATTCTGCCTCATTTCTCAGACTTTCCCTTGAATCCTATAAAACCGTCTTCCTCTCCTTTCTTCTTCCCCTTGTTTTTGCCACCTTTCCTTCATTCTTTGTTTAATGATACTTTTAATTTCTCTTACTTAAGTTAATCATCATATCAATGGTTTTATTTTGTGATGCTTCCTCAGCAATCTTGTCTGTAATTTCATTTCCATTAATCCCTATATGTGCTGGAACCCAAATAAATATAGCACTAATACCCATAAAAATTGCTGTATTTCAATAAAAATGTCTAATCTACTTTCCGAAAAAAATATTTTGCAAACTAAAGCTGAACTCTAATTTGACCATATAATTAATCTTAATGGTCTCCCTTCCTCTATCCATTGAAATGTTAATAATATTGCTAATAATTCTCCTGTTTAAACTGATAATTAATTATTTTCCAATCTACTTTATATCCGGAAGTGCTGCTGACGCTGCTGCTTCTTCCTGTGTTTACCGCCCCCTGCTGGACGACAGCACGATTTGCACCACAATGGACACAGAATGCATTTAGGATGTTTTGAGCACAATACAGCTGTTTAAACTTTACTATAATGTCTGTTGATTTATTGATCAAGGATAAAATAAATTTAAATCTATTTTTTTCTGAGGATCAAAGACAGCTGGATGATAATAATAGCTTTATTTATCTTTTTGATTGATTGATTGATTGTTGTTATAATACCACAGAACAAACCAACTGTTTATTAACACAAACACAACAGGTTTCATTTAGAATATTTAGTGAGATTGAGATTGTTTCATAAAATGACATATAACAACCAAAGAAGGTAAAAAACAGAGCAGAATCAGATTTATTAGCCGAATTTAAGCAGAAATTCTATTAAATTCTATTCAGTTTATTTCTATAGCGCCAATTCAATACATGTCATCTCAAGGCACTTTCCAGTTCACCAGATCATCCAGTCAGATTGATTCAAAGTTTTCTATCTAAGGAAAACCAGCTGATTGCATCAACTCATTGACTCTTCAGCAATCCCTCACACTAAGCATGCTTGTAGCGACAGTGGAGAGGAAAAACTCCCTTTGAACAGGAAGAAACCTCCAGCAGAACCAGGCTCAGTGTGAGCGGCCATCTGCTGAGGCCCACTGGGGTTCAAGGAGACAGAAGCAGACATAGAAAAGGCAGCTGTAAAAGGCGGCCCCGTCCAGGAAACACACAGCCAGGCAGACGAGCTCCGAGCCAGCTCCCATGTCAGAGGATGAAGAGAGCACATCCAGTTAGTCACAGTCAGAGAAACAGGACTACACTGGAAAACAGGCCAAGCTCCAACATCTAGAAACAAAGGTGTTGATTGAGAGAGCAGAACGTTAGAGATTGAAATAATAGATTCTGCAGAGTGGGAGAATAGAGATAGAATGAAGCAGAATGATGAAAAAGGGGTCCCTATGTCCTCCAGCAGTCTAAGCCTATAGCAGCAGAACTATAGAGATGGCAGGACATTTTTTCTTTCCAATATATAAACTGGGACTTTTCATGTTGGTTTCTTAAATGCATTCTAGTTGTTACTTTATTTATTTATTTATTTTTACAAAAGCATAGATCTTAGAAATACAAGAGCTTTATTTCGAACTGAAACTGTGATGCTGGAAAAAAGAAAAAGAAAAAGCTACAGGGTCTGAACCATGAAAATAAATTAAAGGAAAATAAACTAATTTGTCTGAATGACTCATGAAGACAAATCTGTGAATGAAACAACAAGCTGGCTGCTTTTAACTGCTCAGCAAAGCTGAGAGGAAAGGGTCACTGATGGAGGGGAGAAAGTAAAGCACTGGATGGGAGGGGGGGGAGTAAGACAAACGGGGTGAGGAGGAGGAGGAGGAGGAGGAGCAGGAAGAAGCTAAAGGCAGAGCAGCAGAGGAGCCTCCCGGTGGATCACGGAGCCGCTGCGGCCGGAACCCCAAGCTGCACCCGCGGAGCTATGGCCGAAGAAAGCATCCGATCCACGGCTTGCACCGGCTCCAGCCTCCTGCTGCCGGTCAGCGAGATGACCAACCTGCCGCTGGATCAGGTAGGACCCGGACCAGGCTATCTGTCCATGCATCCTCCCGGGGGCCGAGCCTCCGAGCCGCCGGGCGGGGATCGGGCTCCAACAGGCGCCGCTTGGTAACAAAGGAGGCTTAACCAGGCGGTCCCGCACAGAGAGGTAGGCCTCCAGCTGCGGGAGGAGGAGGCGGTTTGTAACCATGATGAGGGTCTGAGGAGGATGAGAAGATCCAGCATCTCATCAGATTATCTCTGAGATTAGAAGATGACCCCATCAGGCTGCAGGTTCCATCAATAATAGGGACAGTTTTCAGTTAATTCAATCATTTCTGCAACTTTGGACTCTAAACACAGGGGCGGATTTACGACATTTGGGGCCCTGGGCAAAGACAGACAGGGGCCCCTCTGAACTGAGAAGACAACACATAAAAACAGGGCTTTTATTAGGTTTATTTCCAAAAATGATCTCAAACATTTATTTATTAAATGCTTTCCTATTTTTGAGAAAACTAGGGAACCATAATATATTTATATTTATATATAGACAGTTTCATCTTTTTTAAAAGTGCATCCTTGAAAAACAGTAAATATAAAGTATATTTAATATAAACATATGAGTGTAAATTTACAGTTCTAAATTTTTTTATATATAATGATAAAATATAATAAATATATTTTACAAAACATTCATCAGTCTGATGGCAGCGGGGAAGAAACTGTTAATGAACCTGCTGGACCTCCATCGGATGCTTTGAATCCTCTTCCCAGAATGCAGCAGGGAGTCCATTTTTGGGGGGGTGAGGGGTCATTGATGATGTCACAGGCTCGGGAGACACAGCGCTGGGATGTTAGAGGCGCCTTTTAATATATTATATATATATAGGGCCCAAAAACATCAATGTTTTAAAAAAAAATAACGAATAACAGCCGATAAATCCTGCATCCCTAGAAGTACAATTTCTATTCCATCCATCCAGAAAAATATGGATATGCTTTATTTTAAATATAGCATAGCAGATATATTTTATTGCATGTTGCATTTCCCAGTAAATCTGTTTCCGCTTTAAATCTGCAGCTCTCCCTGCTTCTCTCTGTGATGCTAGAAACAACATTTCTAGATCTGTAGAAGCTCTGATTCTGTCTGTTCAATAAGTAAACATTTTAACCGTTAACTGATGGTCCTCTGAGCAACCAAGTTTTTTTACTAGGAAAGAAAAACATTTAAACTATATTTTCTTAAGCTTATTGCATTATAATACTAACCTTTTGCCATTTTTAGCTGAAAAAGATCAGTATGTCCAACCAACAGTTTTTTCTGTGGCATCTGTAATTTTTTTTAACCAACCCGTCTCCTTTCTTTTACTTAAACATCTATAGAATTAGTTGATGGTTAATATTCACTGAGTGCTGCTGTTTTTCTCTCCACCTCCATGAAGCTTTTTTTACGTCAGTAAAATGCGACCGCCAATCAGAAAGCGATAGGTCCGATGATGTCACACCGAGAGGCGGGACATGGGAGCAGCATGAGAGAGGGAAAAAAACCCAAAAAATATAGAAAAGCATTCCATTTTAAAATCTTAAGTGTTTTTGAAGTAGAGAACAACAATCGTTCAGTTTGGTTTGTAGATAATTTCCTGATTCCCATATTTTCTCAAACACCTGAACTGATCGTTTGTTATTTTCTTTCTTTTTCTGTCTTAATGTTGGCAGTGGGCTTTAGGCTTTAAACCTGGGTTTAACCGGAGACTAAGCCATTCTCAAGCACATATCAAGGAGCTCATTTTGAGCCTGGATCCAGATTTATTGTTGATTCTGTTCATGGTGGAGAATCCTGCTTCACAGCAGCAGGTTGAGCCAAACATCCTCTAAATGTGCAGGGTCATCTTTGAGCACGCCATTTCACTTTTCTTTCACCAGTTCACTGCAGTTCTTCCAGCAGTCCACACTTTCTCTGCTCTCTTTTTCTCATGGTCTTCTCCTTCTTTCCCATCGCCCGGCTTGCCACAGGTTTGCCTGCTGGGTCTAAAAGTAGCAGCAGCAGCAACCCAGACTGACAGCTCATTGGCTCATTTGGATCACGTGCAGCCTGGAGCCGGACGCTCCCCAGGGCTTTACCGTATTAACAGGAGAAGCAGCGCAAGTGAAATTATACACTATCATTGGACAACATGCGGTAATTTATAAATGTTTTAAATGGGTCCGGATCCGGGCTGCTGTCTGCTAATCTGTGACCTCTGGTATAGATGTTTAAATATATGCATCTATTTGTTAGCAAAGGCTCTAAAATATGGAAGGTTTGCTCGTTCCTGTTGGAACAGTGTAGACTGACCCTGAGGTTCTGGTGCCTGTCTGTTTTCGGCCCCCCCTTTGGTTGATGCCTGGCCACCCTTTTTAACATTTTCTGTCTACGCCTCTGTTTCCTGGACCTGATCACATAAAAATTTTCATCTTTAAAGTTTTAGCAAAATCTAAGTATTTTAGGGGCTAAATATTCAGATTAATTTCATAATATTCACTTTCACCTTTTTCATTTGTGTGTTTACTATTCCCTTTTAATGCTAAAAATAGAACCTGTCATTATACTGGGTTAGGTTTAGGTTTGACCTCTGCTTGTTTGTTCACAGCAGCTGTTTGTTCCATACTAACAGGAAAAATCTCATCATCAATACTGGGTTTGCTTCTGATATTAACATTTGAAAAAAATGGTCCTTCCTCTGAGCATACAGAACTGTGCCAAACTCTTCATTAGATTATTGCTGCTTTTTAGTCCCTCTGACTCTAAGGGGCTACAAAATATTCCCACCTATGCAGCGTTGCATCATGCTATTATTTAAACTATGTAACAGTAAATTATGTGTCACAAAATCCCCAAAATGCAATAATGCATCTTCATGTTTTTGCACTGGGGCTTAAACAAGTTGGTTAATTGTGATTCGTCGATTATTGAAATAATTATCAATTAATTTAGTAATGGATTAATCGTTAAATGGAGTATAGAGACTGTAAAATGGTAATAAAGTATAAACATTTTGTATTTACGATGAAAAGGAGTTTTCGTCTGTCAATCTGCTCTATCCAGAACTTGGAAAAGTTAGCCCTGGCTGCTGCAGACGGGCTAACGTTAGCCCTGGGTGCTGTAGACGGGCTAACGTGTTTGTCTGTCAATCTGCTCTATCCAGAACTCCTCAAGTGGAAAAGTTAGCCCTGGCTGCTGCAGACAGGCTAACGTTAGCCCTGGCTGCCGCAGACGGGCTAACCTCAGCCGTGGGTGCTGCAGACGGGCTAATGTTAGCCCTGGCTGCTGCAGACGGGCTAACGTTAGCCCTGGGTGCTGTAGACGGGCTAATGTTTTTGTCTGTCAATCTGCTCTATCCAGAACTCCTGAAGTGGAAAAGTTAGCCCTGGCTGCTGCAGACGGGCTAACGTTAGCCCTGGCTGCTGCAGACGGGCTAACGTTAGCCCTGGCTGCTGCAGACGGGCTAACGTTAGCCCTGGCTGCTGCAGACGGGCTAACGTCAGCCCTGGATGCTGCAGACGGGCTAATGTTAGCCCTGGCTGCTGCAGACGGGCTAACCTCAGCCCTGGATGCTGCAGACGGGCTAACGTTAGCCCTGGCTGCTGCAGACGGGCTAACGTCAGCCCTGGATGCTGCAGACGGGCTAACGTTAGCCCTGGCTGCTGTAGACGGGCTAATGTTAGCCCTGGCTGCAGTAGACGGGCTAACGTTAGCCCTGGCTGCTATAGACGGGCTAACGTCAGCCCCGGGTGCTGCAGACGGGCTAACGTTAGCCCTGGCTGCTGTAGACGGGCTAACGTTAGCCTGTCTGCTGGCTCTGATGGCCATCTTTTTTTTTACGTGGCAAAATCTTTATTTAATTTGTGTTTATCTGACTGTGTTCATCATTATTCCTCCACTAAATAAAAAAAAGTAATAATTTATTATTATCTAGAGACTATTAATAACAGGAGGTGAAATGCAGCTCCAGACGAGCAGAGCGTGTGGTGATGTCATCAGTACGCTTTGTTCAAATTGACCTAGATTTATTCTGCGTGCTCCCGTTCTCCCAGAGTCCATGCTTTCCTGTGTTCTTCTCAAGAACGTACTTGGCGAGGACACAAGTCCTTACTCGTGTTCTTGTGAATTAAAAAACAGCCCAAGTTTTCGTGTGAAAGATTTAATCAAGGCCTAAGGAGCAAAAGTCTCTCAGGTTTGGCTTGAATCTGCTTGGATGTCTAGCTGTCTGGCTGTTTTCTCATGTTTTCCCCAATAATCTTTCTCTCTAATGAGCGATGGACTTCAGATGGTTTGGAGATTACCCTAAAAGCCCTTCTTTCGATTTTCCCATGCCTATAGTTACGTCAATAGCATAAATGTTGATCGCTTTCTGCCCCAGCATTGTGTTAGCATTAACCGCCTGCTTTTAATCAGGATCTCTCCCTGATCAGACATTTGCTTCTTTCTGTTTTCCGCCTCCGCTCCTTGAATCCATGGATTCTGCAAGAGTAAAAGTGGGACAGACTTCTACCTTTGGATCCTTTCTCCCAGTTTAAAACTTTCCAACAAAAGAAAAGAAATCTGTTCATTTAGACGGAACATTTCTTCCTTCCTTGAGTGTTTGATGAGTAATTGCTCAGTTTACACACTTTACATTATTTATCAGATATAGACTCAGGTTACAGGCAGATCAGACAGTCTTAAACCCAAGCAGTGAGATCACTGGAAATATAACACCACAGTATGAAGATGCTCCTCCTCATAAGAAGAGACACTAACTTATAGTTGTTGATGTTTAGAAAAGTGAAAAGAGTCTTCTGGTGGCGATTTCATAGACTCAATTAAATTAAATTATCTGTGCTCGTCCTGTTGGATCTCAGTGCTGCATTTGATACAGTTGATCATAATATTCTTTTAGAAAGACTTGAATATTTTGTTGGAATTAAAGGAACAGCACTAGACTGGTTTAAATCTTATCTATCTGATCGAATTCAGTTTGTTCATGTTAATGATAGATCTTCAACACGCTCAAAGGTTACCTGTGGAGTACCACAGGGATCAGTGCTAGGACCAATTCTCTTTACTTTATACATGCTCCCAATTGGTAGAATTATTAGACAGCATGGGATTAATTTCCACTGTTATGCTGATGATACCCAGCTATATCTGTCTATAAATCCAGATGAAGCTAACCCATTACATAGATTACAGGCATGTCTGAAGACATAAAAACCTGGATGACTCTGAACTTTCTGCTTCTGAATGCAGACAAAACAGAAGTTATAGTCTTTGGACCAGAGTCTCTGAAAAAGAAGCTGATTAGTCAGTCACTTCATTTGGATGGGATTAAACTGATTTCAGATAATAAAGTAAAAAATCTTGGTGTTGTTTTTGATCAGGACCTGTCATTTAAATCCCATATCAAAGAGGTTTCTAGAATTTCCTTCTTTCATCTGAGGAACATTGCAAAAATGAGAAATCTCCTGTCCAGGGATGATGCTGAGAAACTAGTCCATGCATTTGTTACTTCAAGGCTGGACTATTGTAATTCTTTACTATCAGGAAGTCCACAAACTGTAGTTAAAAGCCTTCAGCTGATCCAAAATGCTGCAGCCAGAGTTCTGATGAAAATGAAAAAGAGAGATCATATCTCGCCTATCCTGGCTTCTCTTCATTGGCTTCCTGTTAAATCAAGAATAGAATTTAAAATCCTCCTTCTCACATATAAAGCCTTAAATGGCCAAGCTCCATCTGATATCAGAGATCTGATTGTTCCTTATGTTCCTAACAGAGCACTTCGCTCTCAATCTGCAGGTTTACTAGTGGTTCCTAGAATTTCTAAAAGTAGAATGGGAGGCAGATCTTTTAGTTATTAGGCTCCTCTCCTGTGGAACCAACTACCAGTTTTAGTCCGTGAGGCAGACACCCTGTCTACTTTTAAGGCTAGGCTTAAAACTTTCCTTTTTGATAAAGCTTCTAGTTAGAGTGGCTCAGGTTATCCTCAGCTATCTCTATAGTTCTGCTGCTATAGGCTTAGACTGCTGGAGGACATAGGGACCCCTTTTTCACTCTCTGCTTCATTCTATCTCTATTCTTCCACTCTGCAGAATCTGTTAGTTCAATCTCTAACGTTCTGCTCTCTCTGCTTTTTCTCATAGTAGCTTCATCTGGTCTGTTCCTGTTTGGCTGTGACTCCATCCTGGAGAGAAATATCAGCTGTGCTGCTGCCATCAACACCTTTGTTTCTAGATGTTGGAGCTTTGCCTGTTTTTTAGTGTAGTCCTGTTTCTCTGCCTGTGACTAACTGGATGTGCTCTCTTCACAAGCAAGCATGCTTTGTGTTTAGGGAAGTAAACATGGATGGTAGCGCTAGAGAGTCTATCTAGTGATATTTCCCAAGCTTAACAACACAATCTGTTCAAGATGGTTAAAATAGAAAGTGCTCAGATGAGTGCGACCTGGCCGTTCAGACACAGATTGCATTTGAAAAGTTCAGATACGTATCGGATTAGGACCACAAAGCTGTATGGATGTGTTGTTCAGACTATCATTAGAATATCAGATCCAGGTCACATTTGTGCAAAAAAGTCGGATTTGAGTCACTTCAGGCCGCTGTGTGAAAGTAGCCTAAAATTCTTCCAAACCTTCAACTTAAGAAGAAACGTGGAAATTAGTCCTCAATGCCCAAGATTATTGTCATGGTTTATAGCCCAACATGCCTTTTATAAACCTCAGGCTTTTCTATGGATTCCACTTAAAACACACATTTGATTATGTCATTTTACAAGGGTCGTTCAATAAGTAATGCCCCTGACCCACTTCCACATGTTTGATTGAGCTGAAACTTTGCATGTGATGTTATTTAAATCTCTTTAGATTAAATAGCAAATTACAGCTCTGAACTATTTGTGGTTTCTGACTTACAGGTGTTTGAACCGAGTAAAGTCTGAAATGGAGCCGGTTGAGTGTCGAGCAGTGATCCGGTTTTTCTATTTGAAAGGACTCACACCACGGGAGACTTTTGATGAAATTAAAGTAACTTATGGTGATAATACCCGTTATATGACCTTGCAAAATGTTTTACAAGGTTATATTATTTGGACATTATGACTAAAAATGACTTTAATTTGATCAAAAGACTGTCATTGTGTGCGTCCTTTTAAATGATAAAACTCAGACTTGACTCAGTTTTAACTTCAGTAAATCAGAAACCACAATTAGTTCAGAGCTTTAATTTGCTACTTAATCTAAAGAGATTTAAAATACATCACATGCAAAATTTCAGCTGGATCAAACATCTGGAAGTGGGCCAGGGGCATTACTTATTGAACGCCCATCGTATAGCCCCAATTAACCAAATGTACAGAAGGGGGCCAACGTGTTTTAATGGGGGCACAGAAAAGCATGTAATAAAAAAGACATTGAAATATGTTAAGATAGCTTCATGAAGTGAAATTTCGATTCAATTAGGTTTATTTAAAATTCTATGTCTCATTAGGTCAATATACAGTCAGAATTTAGGAAATTTTAGATATTTTCGCCTTATTTTTTTTATTTAAAATTACTGTTTTTTTTAAATAAAATCTAGTGTTGCGCTGATGCCGTTTTTTTGGCCCCGATACCGATACCTGGCTGTGCAGTATTGGCCAATGCCGATACCATCTGTTTGAAAATGATGTGTGTATCTATGAAGAACTGCATACTACTTGGATGTAAGATAATTGCCATCATGGCTTTGTTAAGCTGCTGCCTACCTTTGTGAAGCAGGAAAAAGACTCAAACAAAGTGAATCCAGTAGAATATGCTGATGAAGATTCTCAGTCATCCAGGTCAAAGTCATTCTGTAAAAGTTTCAAAAAATATCCACTGGACTTGGTTTTCAAGATATGAAGATGTTTCGCCACCTCTCCAGGAAGCTTTCTCGAATCGAAAGTCTGGATCCGCAGTGAGTTTGAGTCTTATATAGACTTATATTGCTTGGAAACATGCAAATGGTAACCAATGAGTGGGTCGTTTGCTTCCATTGTTAGCCTGTCTCCTGTAATACCTGAAACCTGTCTAGACTGGTTTCAGATATTACAGGAGACAATCTCCCCCTTTAACGACAATCCCGCCCTTTAATGACCGACCTTCCGAATCATAGACAGGTTTCAGATATTACAGGCTAACGATGGACCCAAACGACCCACTCATTGGTGTCCATTTGCATGTTTCCAAGCAATACAAGGCTTTGTCTATATAAGACTCAAACTCACTGCGGATCCAGACATTTGAATTGAGAAAGCTTCCTGGAGAGGTGGAGAAACGTCTTCAAATCTTGGAAACCAAGTGCAGTGGATATTTTTTGAACTTTTACGGAAATCCAGTAGAACTTTTTATTGCCTACCTGGAATGAGTGACAATGGTTGAAGAAACTTTTGGCTCTCAAAATGGTATCGGTTCCCTATTGGTTGGTACTCGCCGATACCGATACCACCATTTTAGTGCAGGATTGGTATCGGTGCAACACTAATAAAATCTGAATTTGAACTCAAGAAAAACAGATAAATTCAGTTGTAAAAGTTTGACTATTTTTTTTATTTGTTTTAAGGCCATAAGAGGGGCCAGGGCATTATCTAGAGGGGTTCTGCCCCCATTTGCCACTATCTAGAATCGCCCATGCCAATTCATAACACATGTCTCTTTCCAGTTTGATCAGATCATCCAGTCAGATTAAAAGCTGGAATGTTTCGATCTCAGTAAAACCAGCTGATTGCATCCAGTCATCGACTTTGCAGGATTAACTCCTCCTGGAAGAGGATGTGTAGAAACAGTAGACTTGACTTGCATTATGTTGCAGAATGATGCTGCCTGCATCCTCACTAAAACTAACAAAGTAGAGAACATCCCCCCAGCTCTAAAATCCTTCCACTGGCTCCCTGTAACTCGGAGAGTAGACTCTACTTCTCTTGGTCTATAAATCAGTAAATGGTTTAATTTCAAATTCGTACATTAAAGACTTCATAACAGTGGATCAAACAACCTGACCTCTCAAAACTTCTGGATTAAGTCTACATCTATTTTTCATATTTTCCTGCCTGTTTCAAGCTCTATGTTATCTAGATAAAGTTTGCCGACTTGTTTATGCTGAATATAGACGTGTTCTTACTTCCAGGGAAGTAGAAATGCGAACGTTTTTTATACATCTGAGTTGGACTCATTTGGGGTTATGACTCCAACAGCTGAACAAACCTCCTCTAACCCACGAAGGTCGGCAGCCCGCTGTGGCACAGAGAAACAACCAGAACTGGACTCCAAGCATAAAAACATAAAGTCATCCTCTGCTCTGTCAGTAGTAAATACGTTTCATTCCTAAAAGAAACCAGAGCCATTGATCACAACTGATTTAAACCTTTTCATATAGCGAGAAATGAAGGTCTCACGGGTCGGTTTTCTCCCTGTAGGGAAGGTGATCCAGGAGGTAAATTGGACTCTGCAGCCTTTGAAAGGTTTTATGGGTCTTTAATGTAATCAAGTGACACTGCTGTTGGTTTAAATGGGAAACTGAGAGGTTCTCTTTAAACCCATAAAAGAAGCAGAGCTGGAGGAGCAGCTCAGCTCCTCTTCTTCCTCCTTGTGATGGTCTGACTCACCCTGACGCCAATTTTCCCTCTGCTCTGTCTGCAGGTGAACTTTGTGGTGTGTCAGCTTTGCGCTCTGATCTCGGCCTTCTGGTTTCGTCTCTTCCTCCATCCCAGTAAAACCAGTCCTTTCATCAGACATGTGGTGGCGACCGTGCTGGGGCTCTACTTTGCCACGTTCTGCTTCGGCTGGTAAGACGATGACCCAGATTTTGGGCAAGAGGGGCAGCAATTAAAGCTGAAAGGAAAACATAAAACTTAAACAGACTAGATCCATGTTTAAATCAAAAGCTGAAAAAGTTAGCTTCTAGTAGCATAAGATCCCATTTCCGATACAGATAGAATGAAGCAGAATGATGAAAAAGGGGTCCCTATGTCCTCCAGCAGTCTAAGCCTATAGCAGCAGAACTATAGAGATAGATCAGGATAACCTGAGCCACTCTAACTAAAAACACAGACAAATGATAAAACAGAAAGGATTTAAATGCATTTATTTTCTCAGGAAATATATTATTAACCTTTAGCACATTATAGTTTAGAACGTTTACTATTTTTAGTGAGGGGAAAAACTTAATTTAGATCTATTAAAATCTGGTTGCACAGATGACCTGATGGTACGGGTCGTGCTGCCGGGACGGATCGGGTAGTGACAGTTCAAATATCCGTATTATTTTATTTTAAAAAAATGTTTTTCTAAACACTAATAAAAGTGAGACTCTAACCTGCAATAGTCATGGAGAAACTAAAACACAGTTTTTAACCTCAAACAACTGAGTAGGAAACAAAAATTTATCAATATTTAGACAAATAAATCATAGATTTCCAAATTTGGGAAAGTCTAAATCAATAACTTTTTTTTTCCCAATCTTGTTTGAATTTAATAACTGTTTAATTTCCCATATGCCTTTTACTAACTTATATTAATCAAGTACAAACACGTAAAATCTTAAATGCTTGTTATAATCTCTACAGTATTCATCCTCAAAAGTTAGTTTTTCCGCATAGGATCCCATTTCCGATACAGATAGAATGAAGCAGAATGATGAAAAAGGGCTCCCTATGTCCTCCAGCAGTCTAAGCCTATAGCAGCATAACTATAGAGATAGCTCAGGATAGCCTGAGCCACTCTAACTAAAAACACTGACAAATTATGAAACATAAAGGATTTAAATGCATTTATTTTCTGAGGAAAGATATTATTAACCTTTAGCACATTATAGTTTAGAACGTTTACTATTTTTAGTGAGGGAAAAACTTAATTTAGATCTATTAAAATCTGGTTGCACAGATGACCTGATGGTACGGATCATGCTGCCGGGACGGATCAAGTAGTGACAGTTCAAATATCCGTATATTTTGATTAAAAAAAAAATAAAAAATTTCTAAACACTAATAAAAGTGAGACTCTAACCTGCAATAGTCATGGAGAAACTAAAATACAGTTTTTAACCTCAAACAACTGAGTAGGAAACAAAAATTTATCAATATTTAGACAAATAAATAATTCAAATCTTGGTCTAGATTTCCAAATCTGGGAAAGTCTTAGTCAATAACTTTTTTTTCCACTCTTGTTTGAATTTAATAACTGTTTAATTTTTACTAACTTATATTACTGAAGTACAAACATGTAAAATCATAAATGCTTGCTATAATCTTTACCGTATTCATCCTCAAATTGTTCTCAAGTTAGTTTTTCCACCCATGTCTAATTCATTCTCACAAGCTATGATGAGCATTTACTGAAAACCTGTGAGCCTCAAGAAAATTATTTCATCATTGTTATTTTGGACGAAAGCAACACTGATCTGTTTGAGTTTCTTAATGATGTTTTATTTCGCTGTTATAACTAAAATATTTTTACTCATGACTACATATATTAATCATAAAGCGTTTATATTTAAATTGTTCTCACTCTATTTCTTAAACCAATGTCTAATTTATTATGACAAGTTACAGAGACGGCAAAAGTACTTACTTTCCGTACTTGAATAAAAGTACAGGTACTTGTGTTAAAAAATACTCTGGTAAAAGTGGAAGTACTGATTAAACTTCTTTACTCAAGTAAAAGTAACAAAGTACAGGCTTGTAAATTTACTTAAAGTATAAAAGTAAAAGTAGAAACCACTTTTTTCATGCCGTTGCCTACATTTTAAATGGATGTCTGCCAATAGGACTAGATCTCCGTTGTGTTCATTTTCAATCATCTCGTCGTCCATGCTACTATGCTAACGCCACCGCCACCAAGCTGCAATGATTTGCCGCCAATTAATACCGCCGAATCTGTCGATTCATCTTGTAGTGGTGCGTCAAATGCAACGTAGATTCCCATCCAATTAGATTGAATTTGGTATTGATGACGTGAAAAATAATAACGGTAACTCCATTGAAATGATTCAAAACTAAAGTAACGAGACAATTTTTAAAATGTAAGGAGTAGAAAGTACAGATATTTGTGTAAAAATTTAAGGAGTAGAAGTAAAAAGTCGCCATAAAAATAAGTAGTAAAGTAAAGTAAAAATATCAGAAAAATCTACTTGAGTACAGTAACGAAGTATTTGTACTTCGTTACTTCCCATCTCTGACAAGTTATGATAAACATTTACTAACAGCAAGTTTTAAGGCCTTTCAGAGCAGGAAGAAAAGGAAAAAAAGTTTAAAACTTTTCTTAACCAGATTTTTTTTTTGTTTTTATCACTTGCCTCTCAGGGCTTCCGTAGCTATGAGAGAAGAGTCTGATCGAGTGTTTGTCTTCTAACATTTAAAATGTAGGCAACAGCATGAAAAAAGTGGTTTCTACTTTAACTTTTATACTTTAAGTAAATTTACAAGCCTGTACTTTGTTACTTTTACTTGATTAAAGAAGTTTAATTAGTACTTCCACTTTTACCAGAGTATTTTTTAACACAAGTATCTGTACTTTTACTCAAGTACGGAAAGTGAGTACTCTTGCCATCTCTGCAAGCCAGTTAGAATTTGGTGTAGATTTCTTTCTTCTCCTGTCTGTTGAAGCAGCGTATGGAGGACCAGCTCTACCATATTTAAAAATATATGCATAAATAAATAAATGCTCAATAAATAAATAAGCATACAATTAATTGCCTCAAAAAAATACAATAAACTAATAAATGTAGGAAGAAATTAAATCATACAGTGAGACATACTTTTAATTAGCTTCTTT